TTGTCACACCTGATGTTCAAGTTACAATACCTGTGCGCACTGCCCATTCAAATTTACCTGTGCCTGGTAATACAATGCCCCCCGCCCAGGCAGGGCAACTCACGTCTGGGGATAGATACTCTGAATATACAGCGATACTTCTGCCAGTGGCGGAGCCAGGAATTGATCGTGGGAGGGTTTCAAAAACATTTACACTGATTTTATATATATATATATATATATATATATATATATATATATATATATATATATATATATATATATATAGTATGGGATATTTCACTACAAAATGTATAAAACGAGTGTTGTATATCAACCAAACTATCCCTAATTTTGTTAGTCCAGTTCCAGGCCTACTTCACGCTACTGCTGTTTCATCTTCATACATACTGTACATCGTACAGATACTTCTACTACAACAGTGGGCCCGCACATTATCAAGTCCTAGACAAGTATAAAGATCTACGTTTAAAACAAGCTGTAGCTCTAAATCCAGTGTTATGTAGTTCCACATGGTCTGAGGCTTCTTTAGGAAGCCTGGGAAAATAAACCAGAGGCGTAGCGACCCTTCCCGGCGCCCGGGGACATATGTCTTCCCGCCCCCCCCCCCCCCCCCCCCCCGCTACGCCTCTAGGATTAACACAATTTTTCGAAATAAAAAATAGAACAAGCTCAGTTCTAAGCAGTCCTACAACATACTGCTTTATGGATGAAAATCTTCCATACAATATAGATCTAGATCTTGATTAAGATCCACTATCTAGTGTACATAGTAGTTTCCTACACCTAGATCTAGATATAAATCTAGATTTAGATTAACAATGACTATAAATTATTGATACACGTTAATATCGCAAGTTTGAGCGCTATTCTGGCTAAAAATGACAAAACACAAAACACTCATTTCGAGTCATTTGATGCCTGTAAACAAAATAGGAATTTGAATGATAGACCAACCGAAAGTTTATTGTTTATCTGTGATTGACTTACATGGAAGTTATAATACTGTTTCATATAATTTTCTACACTTAAAATACAAATGGATGTCGTCTATCTATAAATACAACTGTTTCACAACACGTGTTATCGGATATTTCCATTAAAATATGCACACTGTGTCGCAAAAGTTTATGTGTATAATGCTACTACAAGTCTTTGTATTGTTGGCTACATTCCCTCTTAGGATGAAAAAATAGTGTGCAACGTGTATTTTATGCGCGCGGTTATAAGTCTGTACAAAGCTATATGTATTTTACGCAATGACTGCAAGATAGTTCAAATCTACTGCCCGGCCGCGCAACTTATAAGGAACATTGATTGTTTGACTTTCACTTAATCGTATACAGATATGGAGATAGTATTATCATCGCATTATAATGCGATATTTTAACAAATCACACCTGCATGAGTCGGAAAATACACGTTTGGAATGTGTCCGTATATCTGTGAACACGAAAACTTAGGTAAAGTTTCAATTAGTCGGACGAATTCCAGATATAGGTATCACGTTCTGTATGTAGTTTTCTTTTGAGATATTCCCAGTAACCGATCTTCTTCTTCTTAATTCTAGTGTTGGAAGAGATTTCCTCCAACACAATTAAGTATTATGTGTCAACTTGTCTCGCGCCATAAAGGCTGTTGTCTCCGATTTCAGCCTGTTTATATTTTTGGATTTGCTTTCATAGCTTTTGTCCAACCAAGAACAAACTACAAGGCAGCAGTTGTTTGATTTTGGAGTTGTCTTCTAGAAACAGTTACTGTCCCAAGCTATCTAGCCTCAACTGCCCGCGGCCGGAAGAGATAATTATTCTGTTTCCAGTTTTAGATAGCGACACCAACTTTCAAATACATGCATTCTATCGTAAAAGCGGGGATCTCTAATAAATTTAGCGTTTCCTTATTTCTCAAAAACTTCAGAATGTAATTATTTTACATATATCGTGTAAAGCAGTTATTTTAAGTACTTATCTACCATTTCTATGGAAGAGTGCCACAAAAATTACCATCACAGCTTTGACCGTTATGAACGTACAATACAAGAAACTTTAGGGGAGATCACTATAGTTTTATTAAAAATAACGTACTTCTCGAATATCATCTCCTGATTTTTTTTTCTAAAATTATCCCCCTTAAAAGTAATTTTAGACTCAATAAATAGTGCAACATTGAAGAAACATGACTGGGTAATTGATAAAACTAAAGTGGTAGTACTTATATGACGTAGGATTTAACCTACTGAATAAAATAGAAGTCAAATAAATCTATGACGGAAATTTTATTGGACCGAATAAAATAGTAGGAAATCTATGACGGAGTTTTTATCAGACTGACACAAAAAATAGCAGTAAATCTGAAGGGAAAAAATTAACACACAATAACATTTTGAAACTTTATTTAAATAAACATCATTGAACAAAGCTTAAGGGGGTCGAAGTCCCTGGATCGATCAATCAATAAAATGATATTGAGAAAACACAATTAAAATAACACAATTGAAACTACACTTTATAGTTAACTTATGATTTTAAAATAGTATACCATGTTATTGAGATCTTTAGATGTTAATGATATGGATGATAATAAAAGAGTTTATGTCGAAGTGCAGAGTGACTCGAGAGAGAGCCATATAAAAAAATTGTACATATAAGTAATACATAAAACAAACTCACATATAACATACGGAATATTCAATATTTAACAAATTTTCATAACAAATAATTTTTTTTTTTTAACAGTCACGTACCACAAAATATAATTGTTTTCACAAATTCCCACAACCATAATAATGTTATAAAATCTGCACATATTTTTAAGACATTTTTAAGACTCCCTGCCCCACCGTATAAGATAAATAATGGAATCATGGCATAAAAGACAAGAACAAACAAGTTGGTTACATTCACATAATCATATGGTGTGGTGTATTGCAGAGGCGTAGCAACCCTTCCCGGCGACCGGGGACAAACTTTTGATTTGCACCTTCTCAAACTTTTTCGATTTGCATCCCCCCCCCTCAAGCTTTCAATTTATTTTTCCAACCCATTTTGGCGCCCCTTAAGGTCGGCGCCCGGGGACATATGTCCCCCCCCCCGCCTCGCTACGCCTCTGGTGTATTGAATGGATGTATTTAGTAAGCCATACGTCCCTTCATTCTTCCATAATTATAAAAAGCTGTAGTTTTAAAAAAAAACGTAGATCAAGACAGTGTATTCAACTGCTTTATTTCGTCCCAAACTACCCCATAGCACAATGATCAGCCATAGCCTACCCCCATCTACTTATATTAGCATGTTTACGATCCTTGACTAACTACTTTATAACACAATGATCAGCCATAACCTACCCCCATCTACTTATATTAATATGCTTACGAGCCTTGACTAACTACTTTATAACACTATGATCAGCCTAGCCTACCCAATCTACTTATATTAGCATGCTTACGATCCTTGACTAACTACTATATAACAGCATGATCAGCCATAGCCTACCCCCATTGTGTTTGTTTATAGAAAATTTATACTTTTACCGGGGTTCGACCCCCCACCCCCCATTACCCCCCCCCCCCTCCCCCAAGGAAAAGTCTGAAAGAAACACTACTGGCAACGACAGTATCAGTCATATGTTTTTAATTCTAGGCAGAAAAATAAATATTGCATTAACTGAAAGTTAAGGGAAATGCATTTTTTTACATGTGTAAAAATATATCTTTAAGTAACTCAAAGGGAAGTAATATTTTTCTTTTGTGAAAAAATAAATATTTAATACATTGAAAGTTAAGGGGAGCGCATTTTTCTTTCCTGTGTAAAACATTTATTCTGGGAATGTAAGTTATAATTAGTTTTATGCCTCATAACAAAACGAAGCAGTAAGTAATAACAGGAATATTTATGACGTGCATGACGAAAATACATACACAAGTATCAAATTGTATATCAGTTTAATATATATTATTTTGTAATTTCTTTGTATCAATTTTTGACTCTTCTTTTGTCTACGTTGTAGTTTTAAAATGTTGTGTAATATTCGTCATTACTGAAGCCAAAGTAATACCATGCTTAAAAAGATGGCGTCATTTTGATATTCAGATATCGGAAGCGCTAAAATAGCAATGGTTGATGACCCTTAAAATAATATAATGTTAAGTTGCACAATAAATAATCAGGATTTCTTTTTTTAAAACAAAACTAATGCGTGATGCCCTTATAGTTTTCTCAAAGTGTAAATGTATTGTTAAAAAAATATCAAATATAATTATAGCCTAGTTAACTAGGATCGCTTTTCAGTTACAATGACATAATTGCTTAAGCTAATTAGTTATCTGTAATTATGCTGACGTCACTTGTTACGGTGATACCATTAGTTATGCTTATATTACTAGTTACACCGAGTAAAAACAAAAATGTCTATAACTCTATAGTGTTTCGTTATCAGGGATTTAACTGAAGGGCTATAATCATTTCATTGTGTCTTACAAAATCAAATGCCCGCGGCTTTAAACATCAAACTATAATACACTGTAATAGTTAAATCATGCTTAGAAAACAATTTATATTTGAACTCAAAATTTGAACCTTGAAACTATCAACAACAACAAAATAAACCGTCTAATATTCATCAAACTAGTAAAGAGAAATAACAATATTTAATTTTAAAGCTTATAGGTCGCTCAACTGTCATATTTTAATCATCAATTTAAGCATCAATGCTAAGGCACATAATGTAAACAAACAGTGAGGATGGATCTCCGCATAGTCAACCATATAACATTTCTTTCATGGGGAACGTGTATTTACAAACATTGGTCGTTAATGAGTGACTAGACTTTGGATGGCACTCTGGAGTGTGTGATATGATAACTGGGGGGTCTTTTAATGAAAACATCGACAGGACAGTAAAGAGATTTTTGTTTTGTTTACGGTATTACTGTGAGGGTGCAGGTTAGAATTAAGATTAGGGGTGGTTTAAAAAAAAGAGAGATTAGGAACGGGGGGAAAAAAATCAGGTTTTACGGTTCGGGTATATGCTAGGATTAGGATTAGGAGTAGTTTAAAAAAAATAAGAAAGACTAGTAAAAACTTGCTTAGTGAATAGCTGTGAATTTTGGTTAGACACAAAAAACAAGTCTGGGAATAAATTTAGGCTTAAGTTAAAATTCATGGTGTAGATTAGGGTCAAAGCTAAGGTCAAGGTCTAGTTGGATCAGCGATGGGATAATGGCTGAATGTGGAGTGGAGGGTACTCTGATAGTAGCATCTGCCCCGAAGATGCTTCACCAAGATCCCAGCTAGAGAAGGTTGTTGAGCATGTTGGCGAAGAAGGTCAAGTTGACGCCCATGGCCACGAGATAATACGAGGACAGGGGCGAGGGCGCCTTGTTGAACTCCTGGAACAGCGAGATCTCTCGGCTGTACCGGGTGCCGAACGCTGAGCTGAAAACGTGGAGAGATAACGTTAACAAGAGTAAATGTAGTCTAATCGTAACGTTAATATAAGTAAATGTAGTCTAATCGTAACGTTAACATAAGTAAATGTAGTCTAATCGTAACGTTAACATAAGTAAATGTAGTCTAATCGTAACGTTAACAAGAGTAAATGTAGTCTAATCGTAACGTTAACATAAGTAAATGTAGTCTAATCGTAACGTTAACAAGAGTAAATGTAGTCTAATCGTAACGTTAACATAAGTAAATGTAGTCTAATCGTAACGTTAACATAAGTAAATGTAGTCTAATCGTAACGTTAACAAGAGTAAATGTAGTCTAATCGTAACGTTAACATAAGTAAATGTAGTCTAATCGTAACGTTAACATAAGTAAATGTAGTCTAATCGTAACGTTAACATAAGTAAATGTAGTCTAATCGTAACGTTAACATGAGTAAATGTAGTCAAATCGTAACGAAACATAAGTAAATGTAGTCTAATCGTAACGTTAACATAAGTAAATGTAGTCTAATCGTAACGTTAACATAAGTAAATGTAGTCTAATCGTAACGTTAACAAGAGTAAATGTAGTCTAATCGTAACGTTAACATAAGTAAATGTAGTCTAATCGTAACGTTAACATAAGTAAATGTAGTCTAATCGTAACGTTAACATGAGTAAATGTAGTCAAATCGTAACGAAACATAAGTAAATGTAGTCTAATCGTAACGTTAACATAAGTAAATGTAGTCTAATCGTAACGTTAACATAAGTAAATGTAGTCTAATCGTAACGTTAACAAGAGTAAATGTAGTCTAATCGTAACGTTAACATAAGTAAATGTAGTCTAATCGTAACGTTAACATTAGTAAATGTAGTCTAATCGTAACGTTAACATAAGTAAATGTAGTCTAATCGTAACGTTAACATGAGTAAATGTAGTCAAATCGTAACGAAACATAAGTAAATGTAGTCTAATCGTAACGTTAACATAAGTAAATGTAGTCTAATCGTAACGTTAACATAAGTAAATGTAGTCTAAGCAAAATAACAAGTACAACAGCGGGCGATAAAATAACAGAGTATGAAACAGGTTGGGGCATATAGACATTCAGAATTGAACTATGTCATAGAAATTTGATTAAAAAAAATCAAACTGTGTTAGATAATGTTTCATATAAATAACATGACTGTAAGCAGCATGTCATAAAAACATAGTGAAACAGATTCTGATAGGTGGGAGAGATAATCAAAGCTAATTACTAAAGTCCCGAGTTCGGACCCCCCCCCCCCATCTGATGGAAGAGGGCGCTCGTTAGATGGTGAGAGTAACCCATCTAGGAGAGACAACTCAAAAATGAAACAACTTCTACATTGTTTATCTTTCTTGGTTGCACACAGTCTATGGTAGTAAATCCACACAAAAAAACCAGGCTGATGTTGGAACAAATGGGCCATATGGCGTATACTATGTTGACACGTAACACTTAAATGAATATGAGGAAATAACACCCCAATATTAAGAACAAAGAGGAAGAAGAGAGTATTCTATAGAACCAACACGAAACAGCATAAGGCACAGATCATAAAAAAGTGTGTGACGTACAGACAATGTGAAACAGCCAGTGACGTACAGACAATGTGAAACAGCGAGTGATCTAACACCACCTACCTGGTCCTCAAAAGGTAATCTTTGCTGCTGTCTATGGGGGTGATACCAGACTGGGCCCACTTCCAGGTGGCGCCGCCATCGTCTGATATTTCAATGCCCAGCCCAGGCAGGGATAAGGACGTCTTTAGGATATTGTTTTCAACGCTGTGGAAATATAATTATGACGTCTTTAGGATATTGTTTTCTACGCTGTGGAAATATAATTATGACGTCTTTAGGATATTGTTTTCTACGCTGTGGAAATATAATTATGACGTCTTTAGGATATTGTTTTCTACGCTGTGGAAATATAATTATGACGTCTTTAGGATATTGTTTTCTACGCTGTGGAAATATAATTATGACGTCTTTAGGATATTGTTTTCTACGCTGTGGAAATATAATTATGACGTCTTTAGGATATTGTTTTCTACGCTGTGGAAATATAATTATGACGTCTTTAGGATATTGTTTTCTACGCTGTGGAAATATAATTATGACGTCTTTAGGATATTGTTTTCTACGCTGTGGAAATATAATTTTGACGTCTTTAGGATATTGTTTTCTACGCTGTGGAAATATAATTATGACGTCTTTAGGATATTGTTTTCTACGCTGTGGAAATATAATTATGACGTCTTTAGGATATTGTTTTCTACGCTGTGGATGTGGTACAAGAATATCTTAAGGATACTGTTTTCTACGCTGTGGAAATATAATTATGACGTCTTTAGGCTGTGGATGTGGTACAAGAATATCTTAAGGAAGTTGTTTTTTACGTTGTGGATGAGTTACAAGAATATCTTAAGAATATATTTCAATAATTACTTACAGATATTGTTATCTACACTGGATTTTTTGCAAATATATCTTACATATATTGTTTTCTACACATGAAAAATTATAATATCTTACAGATATTGTTATCTACACTGGATATATTACAAAAATATCTTACAGATATCATTTTATACACTGGATATGTTACAAGAATATCATTAGGATAATGTTTTCTAACACCGAGGGTATATTATAAAAAAAAAACACGCTCCCACCTTGGAGTAATTTATGGAAGACTCCCCGATCCCTCAACACATAATAACAAATCACGCCCACACCAATCCTTACGTGGTGTCACTTATGGCAGACCCCCTCCCCTATCTCTAATCCCTCAATACATAAACTATAAAGCCTACTCTACTCTTACGTGGCGTCATTTATGGAAGACCCCCCACCCACCTCCAATCCCTCAGCACATAACAAACCACGCCCACATCAGTCCTTACGTGGCGACTGGTTATATTTTTTGAACACTCCGCCCATCAATCAACACATAAGAAACCACAACCACATCAATCCTTACGTGGCACCGGGCAGTGGAATCCGGTACTTGAACCCAATCCTGTCCAGTCTCGCCAGCTCCTTGTAGCCCACCGTGTTAGCGAAGTTGGTCCAGTCCTCGTTCATCGCCTTCATCCTCTTCTCCTTCTCTGGCTCGGATTCCCAGGGTGCTGTACGAATACAACAACAGAAAATAGATCCTGTCATGTAGACAATGTAGATCTACGATAAACAGGGAGCTGTAGGAATACAACAACAGTAAATAGATCCTGTCATGTAGACAATGTAGATCTACGATAAACAGGGAGCTGTACGAATACAACAACAGAAAATAGGTCCTGTCATGTAGACAATGTAGATCTACGATAAACAGGGAGCTGTAGGAATACAACAACAGTAAATAGATCCTGTCATGTAGACAATGTAGATCTACGATAAACAGGGAGCTGTACGAATACAACAACAGAAAATAGATCCTGTCATGTAGGCAGTGTAGATCTACGATCAATGTTGAAATGGGAGTGTGGCTTTCATGCATTTTCCCCATTCAAGCGAACGTCCAGTTGGACTTTCATCCATCTCGGACACCCGTTACAGTGGAGAGATTGATCAAGGCAGCGTATTTGTTATATGCAGTGGCGTCGCCAGGTCGGGTGTCACCCGGTGCGGTACGCACCCCCGCTACCGCCTGGCGACGCCTCTGGTTACATGAACTAATATACGTACGGCATCCATGAGTCCACTTAGTCCTCATCAGTGCCTAACTAAATATATGGAAAGAAAATGCGGCTAGGCGTAATTCTGACCATATAATTCCTTAATATGCCGAGGTTAAAGAAACTACTGATCTCTACTTGATCTGCCTGAAAAGCGTGTAAGCCCCCTACCAGTTTCACCATTCCTACCACACATCCACACCGTGCTGCATCACATTGACTTGTGTTTACCTTCATGCCAAGCTCTCTCAGCTAGAGCCAACATCCTCGGCATCAACATGTAGTCTGTGATGGTCTGGGTCCGCAGGAGCTCACCGAACAAACACCCCTGGACACCTGAAGTCAGGATAGAAATAATAAAAGTGGGGGAGGGGAAAAGAGGGGAGGAGGTCCCGTACATTCTTCCTGTCCCAACCTTGTATTTTCTCAGGTTTAGATATATGGGGAATTGACGATTGTCTTAGTTATTCTGCCATCTCAACCCTACTAATGTATGTAACTAAATTTCCCACTTTAACAAATGGTCGCCTTCTATGTTCTCAGCCGCTGGGGGCGCTGCCCACCTAACCCTAACCTTCTATACCACCGCCCACCTAACCCTAACCTTCTATACCACCGCCCACCTAACCCTAACCTTCTATACCACCGCCCACCTAACCCTAACCTTCTATGCCCACTGCCCACCTAACCCTAACCTTCTATACCACCGCCCACCTAACCCTAACCTTCTATACCACCGCCCACCTAACCCTAACCTTCTATGCCCACTGCCCACCTAACCCTAACCTTCTATACCACCGCCCACCTAACCCTAACCTTCTATACCACCGCCCACCTAACGCTAACCTTCTATGCCCCCTGCCCACCTAACCCTAACCTTATATACCACTGCCCACCTAACCCTAACGGTACCTTCTATACCACTGCCCACCTAACCCTAACCTTCTATACCACCGCCCACCTAACCCTAACCTTCTATACCACTGCCCACCTAACCATAACCTTCTATGCCACCGCCCACCTAACCCTAACCTTCTATACCACTGCCCACCTAACCCTAACCTTCTATACCACCGCCCACCTAACCTTATATACCACTGCCCACCTAACCCTAACCTTCTATACCACCGCCCACCTAACCTTCTATACCACTGCCCACCTAACCCTAACCTTCTATACCACTGCCCACCTAACACTAACCTTCTATACCACTGCCCACCTAACCCTAATCTTCTATACCACTGCCCACCTAACCCTAACCTTCTATACCACCGCCCACCTAACCCTAACCTTCTATGCCACCGCCCACCTAACCCTAACCTCCTATACCACTGCCCACCTAACCCTAACCTTCTATACCACTGCCCACCAAACCCTAAGCTTCTATACCACTGCCCACCTAACCCTAACGGTACCTTCTATACCACTGCCCACCTAACCCTAACCTTCTATACCACCGCCCACCTAACCCTAACCTTCTATACCACTGCCCACCTAACCATAACCTTCTATGCCACCGCCCACCTAACCCTAACCTTCTATACCACTGCCCACCTAACCCTAACCTTCTATACCACCGCCCACCTAACCTTATATACCACTGCCCACCTAACCCTAACCTTCTATACCACCGCCCACCTAACCTTCTATACCACTGCCCACCTAACCCTAACCTTCTATACCACTGCCCACCTAACACTAACCTTCTATACCACTGCCCACCTAACCCTAACCTTCCTGCCATTGCCCACCTCACCTTCTATACCACTGCCCACCTAACCCTAACCTTCTATACCACTGCCCACCTAACCCTAACCTTATATACCACTGCCCACCAAACCCTAAGCTTCTATACCACTGCCCACCTAACCCTAACCTTCTATACCACTGCCCACCTAACCCTAACCTTATATACCACTGCCCACCTAACCCTAATCTTCTATACCACTGCCCACCTAACCCTAACCTTCTATGCCACCGCCCACCTAACCCTAACCTTCTATACCACTGCCCACCTAACCTTCTATACCACCGCCCACCTAACCCTAACATTCTATACCACTGCCCGTCTAACCCTAACCTTCTATACCACTGCCCACCTAACCCTAACCTTCAATGTTCTCAGGTTTCAACAGCTGTGGGCACTGTTCCTCCTTGTCCGGCCCCTCACAGATGGAGATGTTCTTGCCGCTCCTGAAGGTGTCGGCGTTCAGGTACAGGTTTTCCGGCATGGTGGTGAACACCTTCCTCATGTCCGTGTACCTGGACGCCCAGTACAGCCCGTTCTCCTTGGGGTCGGGCTCGGATGGGTGGTCTAGGTAGAAGTTGGTGGCCGGGGTCACGATGACCTGTTACACGGGGACATTTTTTTAATGGTAAATGGAGAAGTCAAGTACTTAGGTACATGGCAAAAAGGTTTATAGAAAGTCGCAATGGCCTAAGTTCATAGAAAAGGTTAGAGAATGAGTCACAATGACCTAAGTACAGTGATTTAAAATCTGTCGATAATTCATGAAGGCCTAGGTACACAGATTTAAAGTTTGATATAATTCACGATGGCCTATGTACACTTAATAAAAGTTTTAATAATAAGCCACGATCCTAGGTACACAGAATAAAAAAAAACTTTAACAAAAAGTCTGAATGACCTAGGTACGCTGATTAAAAGATCGAAAAATTAAGTGAAAAGAGGTTGGAAGCAGGCATTGTTAATGTAAAAAGAATGTAAACATCATCATCATTCCTTTGTGGCCCCTGAGGAGCACAAGGTTGCAAATACACATTTCCAGCGGACTCGGTTTTGGGCTGCTCCCTTAATCTGTGCCCATGTGAGCTCAGCTGTCTTTGCCTCTTCCATGTAAACATAGAGTACCATTAGAATATCGAAAGTAGACATAGGTACGTATTATAGTCCCAGTAAGGACCGGACATTCTATAGCCATACTGAATCACGGAATAAAAAGCTAAATGCGTTTTAGTTTCACGTAAAAAAAACAACTTTTTTTTTTAAAGTTCTTGAATGAACGTCATTTGAAGAACTATAGAATTCCAAATGTGGGATTGAAAACAATATTTGGCTGCAACGGTACACATGCGGATTACTTGGCGACAGAAATTATATCATCAGCTACCATAACTATAATCTTTGTGCGAAGGATTTCGTGTTCTATATTTCTAGCAAATTATTTAGAATAAACTGTTTTGTATCAGTAACATATAAATAAGAGGTTGTAAACTTAATTATATAATTCAGTGGTTGTTTTAATTTTTTGTAATTTATCGTCTGTATTTTCTTTACTTTGTTCTGATTCCTCTCTCTATTTATATAAATTTCTGGTTCTTCTGTAAAACCTGACTGAGTTACTAATCATATAATTTTTTAATCTCTCTAAGACTATAAGTTAAAAAAAGACATATACATTACTAAACCTACCCAACACCCAGAAACACCTCAAGCCGCTACAATACCAAACATTTCCAAAACCAACACACCTTTTGCCCATTACTTAAGTATTGGGAGACATTACAGAATATACACAAACAAGACCAACAAACCTTGTATCCGCTGTTAGCAAATTCGTATGCTCGCTTCATTGTGCCCCACTCCCATACATTATTCCAAGCGTAAATGTAGATGTTCCTGCAAAAAATAAATGGTGCACGGATGAGTAATTAAAAAAAAAACAACTAGATCTATCCCTAATCTTATGTATTTTCTGCTTCATTGATTTTAATGACTGAAAGTTAATAATTTTGAGCCGGAAAAGGCAGTTAGTAGGCATGGGCAGTCAGCTTCCAAATTCGTCAAACTCGAGGTTAGTAGCGAGGGGAGGGGGGGGGGGGGGGGGGAGGGGACGGTGACAATGTTCAACCAAGGAAGAGAAGAAGGGTAGAATTAAGATATTGGAAATAATACGTTTTGCTTTTGAAAAAAAAAAGGGGGGGGGGGATTCAAACAGTTGTTTTGCATTTACTTTTGTTGTCTTTTGTGTTCACCAGCTCATTAAACATTGACCAATGTGTCTGAAATACTTCCATTTGAGGAAGGTTATGTATGCGGAATAAAGAAGTTATTTTAGGGAAGGGTCTGCCATTTGAATCTATGTATGACAATCAGTGCCGGCGCCAGGGTTTTTAGCGCCCTAGTCAAAACTTATTAAAACGCCCCCTTTCACACAAATTAATTGCTAAAACCGATGTATAAGAAAACAATTAATTAAAAGTGACATATTAATTTATTATCAATTGCATACACGTTATAAGTACACACCAAAATCAAATTCAATTCCAGTTTGCAAGCGTAATCACATTCTATTGAAATTGTTGCTAAGTCCACTAGTCTAGTTTGTACTATACGACATAGCCCCACACCTTAGAAAATTTGAAGTGCTTACCCCCCCCCCCCCCCCCCCCACCTCCCTCCTGGGAGAAAAAAGTCTGGAAAAAAAATACTAAAAAAAAAACACAGTTCTTGGAGTGTTGGGCTCTCTGTAGACCTCCCAAGGTGAGTTCCAGAACGGAACTTACCTGTCTATAGTTATCATTGTAAAATGCCTATATTGTGTGATTATGTAACGGTTTTTGTTTTTGGAAAATAAAAGGTTATAAATGTTATAGATTCCAGCCTACAATTGTTATATATGAATATTTTAGGAGAAGGTGAAAAATGTGAAAAAGGTACTTCATTAGATAATTAATTTGCGACTAAGACGATTTTAGACGCATTTGTTGCACTATTTTATAATGTATGTCTACTAACATTAAGTATTGCAACCTACAACTGCTACTGATGTATTTGTTTTACAACTTGATAATGCTTAAAAAAACCTACCAAACTATTACGTTAAGAACTTCTGCTCTATATAATTTTTACAATAGCAAATAATAACTTGTAATAAGTTGTATTTATAAGTAAGCGGTCAACCAAAGGTGCAGATATTTGAAATGGATGTAAAATTAAGCAACGAATTATCTCCCATAAGGAAATCCAAATACCAACATTTTATTCAAGGGAAATAACGTTCACAAGAATAGCTAAATTAACCAAGTGTAACTAAGACATGCTTGAAAAACACAATAAAACATGCTAAATTTCTTAGATAATAATTATAAACTATCTCTTATATTACCTATGTAACTTTGTCATAAGAACATATTTTACTCTATAAATACTTAACTGTATGTTTTGTTTGAAAGTCTAAATACGGTAGCTTTATTATAAAATACTTAGAGTCAACTTTGATGACCCTTATTTATCTATAATTTCGCTGTCTGTCTATCTATCTATCTATCTATCTATCTATCTATCTATCTATCTGTCTGACAAGAACGCTCTAGAGAAAACACAAGCAAAATAAAAACATGCACAGTAATTCGAAAAACGAACTATGACGTCGACACATTTAGCGCACAGAGTCAACTTTGATGACCCTTATTTATCTATAGTTTCGCTGTCTGTCTATCTATCTATCTATCTATCTATCTATCTATCTATCTATCTATCTATCTATCTATCTGTCTGACAAGAACGCTCTAGAGAAAACACAAGCAAAATAAAAACATGCACAGTAATTCGAAAAACGAACTATGACGTCGACACATTTAGCGCACAGAGTAGAAAATAATCTCAAGCCGGATAGTGCACACATTGATATGACGTCATTGATTATCGAGTATAAACATTCAATACAAAGGCAATTTGGTCTAATCTAAGTGGTTTGCGTGAAGAGTTTCTTTCATACAATTCTTCGGGTAGGGGCGAAGCCCCACCCCCGCGTAAGAACGTCTGAGCCCCCCCCCCCCCCTCCCCAACTCAAAAGAAATTTCCTCATCGATACTCTATAATAAAATTACCGCCTTATTAATGTGTCTAATCTAAAAAGTGGTTTTCTTGCAATGGGACGGTAGACATGTTTTTTTTTTGGGGGGGGGGGGGGGGGGTGGTGGTGTGTGTGTGGGGGGGGGGGGGGGTGGTGTGTGTGGGGGGGGGGTTGGTTTCAGTGTTTCTTTCAGACTTTTTCCTCCCCGGAGAGGGGTGGGGGGTACTTGAAATTTTCGGGGGCGGGGGTAGAATTTTCTGGGAGGGGGCGGACACTGGAAAAAGTATATAATTATATTTCGTTGAATGGGACGGTAGACATGTTTTTTTTGGGGGTGGGGGGGGGGTGGTGGAGGGGTGGGGGGTGGTGTGTGGGGGGGGGGGGGTCGGGGGGTGGTGTGTGGGGGGGTGGGTTGGTTTCAGTGTTTCTTTCAGACTTTTTCCTCCCCGGAGAGGGGTGGGGGTACTTGAAATTTTCGGGGGCGGGGGTAGAATTTTCTGGGAGGGGGCGGACACTGGAAAAAGTATATAATTATATTTCGTTGAATGGGACGGTAGACATGTTTTTTTTTTGGGGGGGTGGGGGGTGGGGGGCGGTGTGTGGAGGGGGTGGTGTGTGGGGGTGAGGGGTGGGGGTGGGGGTGGTGGGGGTGGGGGTGGGGTGGTGTGTGGGGTGGGGGGTGGGGTGGGGGTGGTGTGTGGGGGTGGTGGGTTGGTTTTAGTTTAGAGAAAAGAGACAGCACTATCAGCCTAGCGCCCGTTGTACCCTTCCTCAACGGGCCATTTTTCTCGTTTATCTATAATAATAGTTTCGCTGTCTGTGTATGTATCTATCTATCTATAATAATAGTTTCGCTGTCTGTCAAGAACGCTCTGTCTGACAAGAACGCTCTAGAGAAAACACAAGCAAAATAAAAACATGCACAGTAATTCGAAAAACGAAATATGACGTCGACACATTTAGCGTAGAGTAGAACATAATCTCAAACCAGAGAGTGCACACAGTCATATGACGTCATTGATTATCGCGTAAACATTGAAAAAAAGGAAATGTTGTCTAATCTAAATGGTTTGCGTGAAGAGTTTCTTGCATACAATTCTTCGGGTAGGGGCGAAGCCCCACCCCCCGCGTAAGAACGTCTGAGCCCCCCCCCTCCCCAACTCAAAAGAAATTTCCTCATCGATACTCTATAATAAAATTACAGCCTAATTAATGTGTCTAATCTAAAAAGTGGTTTTCTTGCAATGGGAAGGTAGACATGTTTTTTTTTTGGGGGGGTTGGGGGGGGGGGGAGGGGTGGAGGGGTGGGGGGGGGGTGGTGTGTAGGGGTGGGGGGTGGTGTGTGGGGGGGGTGGGTTGGTTTCAGTGTTTCTTTCAGACTTTTTCCTCCCCGGAGAGGGGTGGGGGGTACTTGAAATTTTCGGGGGCGGGGGGTAGAATATTCTGGGAGGGGGCGGACACTGGAAAAAGTATATAATTATATTTCGTTGAATGGGACGGTAGACATGTTTTTTTTGGGGGGGTGGGGGGTGGGGGGGGCGGTGTGTGGAGGGGGTGGTGTGTGGGGGTGAGGGGTTGGGGTGGGGGTGGTGTGTGGTGGGGGGTGGGGGTGGTGTGTGGGGGTGGGGGGTGGGGTGGAGGTGGTGTGTGGGGGGTGGGTTGGTTTTAGTAGACAGCACTATCAGCCTAGCGCCCGTTGTACCCTTCCTCAACGGGCCATTTATCTAGTCTGACAAGAACGCTCTGTCTGACAAGAACGCTCTAGAGAAAACATAAGAAAAAATTCTATCTGACAAGAACGCTCTAGAGAAAACACAAGGAATTTAAAAACATGCACAGTATTTCGAAAAACGAAGTATGACGTCGACACATTTAGCACAGAGTAGAAAATAATCTCAAACCCAGAGAGTGCTCACAGTTATATGACGTCATTGATTTTCGCGTTAACATTGAATAAAAAGGAAATGTTGTCTAATCTTAATGGTTTGCGTGAAGAGTTTCTTGCATACAATTCTTCGGGTAGGGGCGAAGCCCCACCCCCCGCGTAAGAACGTCTGAGCCCCCCCCCCCCCTCGGGGAGGGGGCGGACACTGGAAAAAGTATATAATTATATTTCGTTGAATGGGACGGTAGACATGTTTTTTTTTTGGGGGGGGGGGTGGGGGGGGGGTGGTGTGTGTGGGGGGGTGGGGGGGTGGTGTGTGTGGGGGGTGGGGGGGGGGGTGGTGTGTGTGGGGGGTGGGGTGGTTTTAGTTTAGACTTTTTCCTCCCCAGAGAGGGGTGGGTGTACTTGAAATTTTCGGGGGCGGGGGTAGAATTTTCGGGGAAGGGGCGGACACTGGAAAAAGTATATAATTATATTTCGTTGAATGGGACGGTAGGCATGTTTTTTTTTGGGGGGGTGGGGGGGGGGTGGAGGGGTGGGGGGGTTGTGTGTGTGGGGGGGGCGGTGTGTGGAGGGGGTGGTGGGGGTGGGGGGTGGGGGTGGGGGGTGGGGGTGGGGTGGGGTGGGGGTGGTGTGTGTGGGGGGGGGGGTGGGTTGGTTTTAGTTTAGAGAAAAGAGACAGCACTATCAAGCTAGCGCCCGGTGTATCCTTCCTCAACGGGCCATTTTTCTCGTCTGTATATAATTTTATATTTCTTGTTAAAAATTTTGAATCCCCTAAATAAAGGGACGCATTTAAAAACAAAATCAAATATTGGTGACTGTTTAAGACGTTGCTATAATTATTGATTAAATATTAAAAAAAATGATAATTTGAAAAAACAAAGTTGACGGTTAGTTATAAATTCCAGCCTATATAATATTAAATATTAATACTTTAAGAGTGGTAAAAAACTAAAGATTTTTCAGCTAGAGAACGCCTACCTTTCTTTGTAGTGTGTTCCGTACTGAATTGAAATCATCTAACTTACGATAAACTCGACTATTCGGTATACTCTACATTCGCAACATATATCAAACTTCGATACCTAAACATAACTAGACTCGATGTTACAGAACTACGGCAACAACTCACTAAACTTCACCAAGCTCGACAAACGGTACTCCCAATCAACAACGATTTAACTGGACCTAGTACTACACGTTAACAGTCAACACAATTCGATACCTTAATACCACAAGACTCGATACTCCTGAACTCCAGAACTACGATACCTCATCACCTACATTCTCATTTCTCTACTACCAATCAGTAGCGCAGCTAGGATTTTTGGGCCTCTATGCAAAATTATCAATGGGCCCCTTTGTCAGCCGTTAGGCTACAACTGAGTTAAACACGGGCAGTGGAGAAATCGATTGCTACTTACAATGGAATTAACTTTAAATAATGCAAATGTTTGTATTTTATACGTCCTGATTGTGCCTCTACCGTTAAAATATATTGTGTCATTATGCAAAGGTGCGGTCCACATCGGGTAACACCATTTAGGCTTGACACAATGACGGAAAACTGTAAAATATACAGTCAGAACTATGTTTTTATCATTTAAAATACTAAAATATTAGGAAGAGAGGGGTGACACCCCCACCGAAAAGGCAAAATTGTTGGACAGTAGTAAAAGAAATATATTTTCTATATAAATTTCTATTTCGTTCGGAGGGGGGGGGGGGGGGGGGGAGATGCCTGGAAGAAACACTGCCACTAACAAAACACTATTTTTTTTTAAATTTTTATCATTATTTATTTAGATTTGTTTTTTTTATGCTTTTAAGTTTGGAAAATTATTAATGAGTTTCTAGAGTTCTAATTTAGCATCCCAAGTTACCGACCCAAAAGGCATATTTACAATTTGTTTTATAACATCATCATAATATACAAATAATCAGATTTAAAAATCCCAACATAGACATCAAACTCTCCATTATCACCATGGAATGCTAAATAATTTTTTATACGGAACTAGCGTACTCTTCCGCATTGCTGCGACCTAGTCGTACATATAAGGGAGACAGAAAGGGAGATGCATGTCTCTGGGTGAGGGAGGGGGGGGGCGGGGGTGTAGTCTACCTAGTCTACCCTGGTTGCCTTCAGTGTTTCTTCCAGACTTTTCCTACCTTTCTCCGGGGGGGGGGGGGCACTTGAAATTTTCGGGGGGGGGGGGCGGTAGACTTTCTTCGGGGGGGGGGGGGGCGGACACTGGTAAAAGTATATATTTTCTATATAAATTATATAAATTTCATTTCGTTCGGGAGGGGGGGGGGGGGGGGGGGGCGGTAGAATTTTTTGGGGGGGGGGGCAGGCGGGGTGGGGGGGGGGGGGGTCGAGATGCCTGGAAGAAAATCTGGTTGCCTTATTTTCATTGCACCGCACGCAACACGTGACTCACTTGTTGGGGAGGTTCGCCCGGTTCATCGGCTTCCCCTCGCTCATGACCCCGTCCTCCCAGGCGGCAAGGTCAAGGTTGTAGATGGACGTCATGTTGGATATCTGGGTCACCAAGTAGCTCTTCAGGTCTGACGTCACGCCGCTCTGACGCAACCGCTCACACACGGGGGATTTCTCCCACGTGCCCGCGGGCACTTCGTCTCCACCGAAATTAAAAACCTGAGGAGGGAAAAAAAATAGTTAATAAATATATAACGATTTGGGGGGATTTTCTTTTTAACATTTCTGTTTTCTTGTAATCAGTGTTTCTTCCAGACTTTTTTCTCCGGGGGGGGGGGGGGGGGCGGGGGGGGGGGGCACTTGAAATTTTTGCTGAAGGGGGGATAGACTTCCTTCGGGGGGGGGGGGGGGGGACGGGGGGGGGGACACTGTTAAAAGTATATATTTTCTATATAAATTTGATTTCGTTCGTGGGGGGTGGGGGCGATAGACTTTCTTCGGGGGTGGGGGGGGGGGGGGCGAAAGTAACTCTGCTTGTAATATCAGAATGAATACACTGAGAAAATAAAAGAAACTATAAACCTGAATTTAAAAAACTCAAATGAAAATAATATTACATCTAGGCCCTACATATTTATGAGAACAAAATTCTAAATAAAAGGAATTTAACTTAATGATAAAAAACAACGTAGGCTACTTCTTTGATTTTCGACAGCGGAATAGAAACTACTGAGCTATTCATCATGTTTTACCGTTCGCGCCCAAGACACATGAGGCAGATGAAGTAGGGTTCATCTGTCTCAATGACTCAGCTAATATTGGTACCCAACTCAGGCCCTGAACTTTGATCAAGCCCTAACTCGAAAACTAACTAACCCTATTCACCACTCTATCCTTGAAGACAAAAAATTGCTCGACTCCATGTTGTATCACCCTACCAGAGAACGTGAAGGCTAGAAAAAAAAAATAGGACTTCCGGTCACCTTGAGAGGGCTGATGTCCCGGTGCATGGCGTAGAGGGCGTTGAGTACCCGGCTGATGAAGGTGTAGGTGGACCTCAGGCAAGGGTTGATGGCGGTCGTCAGCAAACGACTGGACGGATAGGTACTCGGACTTGTCCTCAAGGTCACTCAGCAAGTAGCTGAAATAACGATTGGAAATATAGGTATTAGGTTTTGTTCCTAAGGTCACTCAGCAAATTCTGAAACAACGATTGGACATATAGATATTCGGACTTGTCCTCAAGGTCATTCAGCACATAGCTGGAATAACGATTGGATGGATATATATTTAAATTTGTCCTCAAGGTCACTCAGCTAATTTCTGAAACAACGACTGGACGGATAAATATTCATAGTATCGAGTTCGACCACCCCCCCCCCCCTCCACCTGGGGAGAAGAGGCTTGATAGCTGGGGACAGCCACTCTTCAAGGAGAGAAAACTCCAAAATCAAACAACTGCTGCCTTGTAGTTTGTTCTTGGTTGGACCAAGGTTATGGAAGCAAATCCAAAGAGAAAAGCAGGCTGAAATCGTAGTCAACGGCCTATATGGCACATAACAAGTTCACACGTAATACTTAAGTGTTAATTGTGTTTGAGGGAATCAACGAAGAAGAAGAAAAATCGCAGCAAGCTAAGCAATCACTCAAAAACAGGCTACCATATCACAATATATATTACAACATAAATGGCTTTTACATATGTTTATATATGCTTAGCTATGTAAGTAGAGGTATGTGTGTATGTATGTAGATACTATTTGTGTACAGGTAAGTGTCCAAATGTATGCATTTACATAAATTTGTCAAAGTATAAGCCCGTGTATTTAATTTCAACAAATATATGCATCCACCTACTTTAGTACATAAGTATTAAGTACATACATTTTGAACATTATTTTGTACGTAAGTGTGTACACTAAATGTGACGACAACGGTACTCACCGTGATGCCTCTGTGACGTTACGTGACACCATCTTCAAGTACCTGGCCATCATGGCCTTGATGGCCGCGTGACTGTGGCCAGGCAGGTCTATCTCTGGGATGACCTCAATGTGTCTGGCCGTGGCATACCGTAATATCTCTCTGAAACCGGTGAAAAAAATAAATCGATCCCATTAAGAGTAATTCAACAGTAGACGACTTGCTAGTGCACGCAACTCTAGTTGGTTGACATACAGTAAAACGAGGTTCAATAAGTGGTCATGTTTTAACAGTTTATTAATAATAAATATATTACGTACATGAGCTACTGTTATGAAGATTTACCTATAGCCCTATAAACTTCAGCTTTTAAAAGTCACTCTCATATACCCTGGTAAGCAACAGAGTTTTTGTCTCATCCCTCTCCCCCCCCCCCCCCCACCGCGAAACGAAATATAATTTATATAGAAAATCTTATCTTTTACCAGTACCCCCAACCCAAAAAGCTTCAAGTACCCTTCCCCACCTGAGAAAAATGTCTGAAAGAAACACTGGTATGAATAGTAACTGTAGTCTTAAAGACTTCAATTGTTCAAGTCCCTCTCTAGCTGGAACCCTAGTATACAGACTCACCTGAAGTCTTAATGTCTTCAATTGTTCAAGTCACTCTCTAACTGGAACCCTAGTATACAGACTCACCTGAAGTCTTAATGTCTTCAATTGTTCAAGTCACTCTCTAACTGGAACCCTAGTATACAGACTCACCTGAAGTCTTAATGTCTTCAATTGTTCAAGTCACTCTCTAACTGGAACCCTAGTATACAGACTCACCTGAAGTCTTAATGTCTTCAATTGTTCAAGTCACTCTCTAACTGGAACCCTAGTATACAGACTCACCTGAAGTCTTAATGTCTTCAATTGTTCAAGTCACTCTCTAACTGGAACCCTAGTATACAGACTCACCTGAAGTCTTAATGTCTTCAATTGTTCAAGTCACTCTCTAACTGGAACCCTAGTATAAAGTCCCTCTCTACCTGGAACCCTAGCACAAAGACTCACCTGTAGTCCTCTACCGTGTAGAAACCTGAGCCAGGTGGGCCAGGTATAGGACCAGAGCCTAAGAACGGCAGCAGGCATTTGGTACCCGTCGGATCATGACACCTTGTTGCTCCTATCTGAAAATCAAACCCATAGGAAGTTGTTTAAGTTAGGTGTATTTTTTGTTCAATTGGTGGCGGTAGCAAGTTTATTTTTGAGTTTAGAAGTTAAACGATAGCATGTGTATATTCTAAACTGTATAGGCAGGGTGGTGACTTATTTGTGTGTCTGTATGGTGAGTGTTAGTGTGTCTGTCTGATGAGTAGTGTTTGTGTGAATGTATGGGGTATGAGTAGTATGAATGTTGTGTTAGGTATGTGTGTAGCGGGTATATGTATCTGGGAATTGGGGTGAGTGTTTAATAGGAATATAAGGTAAGATCTAAAGCTGACATTGGTATTGACGTTTCATCTATTAGTGACTAAACAACAAAGGGGGGGGGGGGGGTCATACCTCCGTCAACTCCTCCAGTCCAGGTATGGCAAGCCTCCACCCCTCATCGTCAGTCAAGTGGAAATGTAATTTATTTAACTTGTACATGGCCATCACATTCAAGTATCTGGAAGTTCAATCAAAATGTAATTTATTCACTTTGTACATAGCTATCACATTATTTTGCAAAATTATTTAGAAAATTTATATCCTTTTGATTATAGTTTAGTTCTCGTTAACATTCGATTTTTCGCTTATAAGTATGTAAAACTTACAAAACCTCGTTAGGGGTGGGTAGGATGGAGGTTTTTGTCCAGGAGATATTTGTCGGTGGACCACAGTACAATGCATTAATATTCACATATATATATATATATATATATAATATATATATATATATATATATATATATATATATATATATATATATATATATATATATATCTATAATATAAGCGGGCTGAGCGTGTGTCAGTCCTTCCTTCCTTCCTTCTGTCATCGCTATAGCTTTTGGAACCATAAAAGTAAACATTCGCACCATGCTGTGCTTTTCAGTGCACCGCAGTGTCTTATTATAAGCATTAGAGTAGGGTTTGTTTATATAGCGGCATAGAGCTATTTTATAATTGCCACGGTTTTTACTCTTTCGCATAACGTCAAGAAAATATTAAATACACGCAAACTGCTAAAACGTATTAAAAAGATTAATGTCAAATATCAATTTCGTTTAGGTTCCCAGAAAAAGTGGATACATTTTAATAACATAATAACAGTAGGGTAGAAAAATCAAATTAATTTAAATCTTTTCTAATTTTGACAAAGGAGGTAATTTAAAAATACATTAAACTCACGCTAATAAAAAATGTGAATGCAAATATACGTTCGTCATAGAAGGAATTAGTGTTGCAATAATATAATTAGCAAAATGTGAATGCAAATTATGTGGATGTGTAAGAGGAAATTATTGTTAGAAAATTATAATTAGCATGGATTGATAAAAGGCAATCTTTTATTTATTTGATTCACTGAATGTAGGCCCTACTGTTTATTACTTATAATTTTTAATCAACTATTCAGCACTATTATAGACGCGTCATCACGTTCATTAGGTGCGCAATGGTTTTAGTTATGAAACTCTATTGTAAATTTTTAAAATTTAAAGTACTGGAAAAAATGCGTGAATGGATAAAGTGAAATATTGTAGGTAAAACACGGATATTTTAAATACTGCCTATTATTTATACTGTTTACTAATTATTATTCTATCTTTCGGTTTGAGGACAAGCTAGGGGTTTTATAGGAGAGGCGTAGCGAGGGGAGGGCATATGTCCCCGGGTGCCGACCTTAGGGGGCGCCAAATTGGGTTGGAAAAAATTTGCGAGGGGGGGGGGGGGGTGGAAATCGAAAGTTTTAGGGCGGGGGGGGGGACAGGGGTGCAAATCGAAAGTTTGAGGGGGGTGCAAATCACCGGAAAGGGCGCGATTTGGCGCTACGGGCTAGACTGTGAGCAATATGCCTTTATGATTGCATTTAAATTGTGTTTATGTTATGAGTGTTGTGTTTGTTTTTTCGTTTGTTTTTTTTTTTTTTTTGCGTTCGTTTGTGTTGTGTTTAGTTTTGTTCTGTTCCCAAGTTGGTACATTTAAAAAAGATTTACCGTGGCGGAGCACGGGATGCATGACCGGAAAGGGCGCGATTTGGCGCTACGGGCTAGACTGTGAGCAATATGCCTTTATGATTGCATTTAAATTGTGTTTATGTTATGAGTGTTGTGTTTGTTTTTTCGTTTTTTTTTTTTTTTTTTTTGCGTTCGTTTGTGTTGTGTTTAGTTTTGTTCTGTTCCCAAGTTGGTACATTTAAAAAAGATTTACCGTGGCGGAGCACGGGATGCAGCTAGTCTATAATATAAGCGGGCAAGTAGTGTGTCAGTCCTTCCTTCCTTCCGTCATCGCTATAGATTTTGGGACTATAAAAGTAAACTGCGCACCACGCTGTGCTTTTCAGTGCACCGCAGTGTCTTATTATAAGTATTAGAGTAGGGTTTGTTTATATAGCGGCATAGAGCTATTTTATAATTGCCACGGTTTTTACTCTTTCGCATAACGTCAAGAAAATATTAAATACACGCACATTGCTAAAACATATTAAAAGGATCAATGTCAAATATAGTTTACGTTAATATTCCTAGAAAAAGTGGATACATTTTAATAACATAATAACTGTAGGTTAGAAAAATCAAATGGATTTAACTCTTTTCTAATTTTGACAAAGGAGGTAATTTAAAAATACATTAAACTCACGCTAATAAAAAATGTGAATGCAAATATACGTTCGTCATAGAAGGAATAGTGTTGCAATAATATAATTAGCAAAATGTGAATGCAAATTATGTGGATGTGTAAGAGGAAATTATTGTTAGAAAATTATAATTAGCATGGATTGATAAAAGGCAATCTTTTATTTATTTTATTCACTGAATGTAGGCCCTACTGTTTATTACTTATAATTTTTAATCAACTATTCAGCACTATTATAGACGCGTCATCACGTTCATTAGGTGCGCAATGGTTTTAGTTATGAAACTCTATTGTAAATTTTTAAAATTTAAAGTACTGGAAAAAAAATGCGTGAATGGATAAAGTGAAATATTGTAGGTAAAACACGGATATTTTAAATACTGCCTATTATTTATACTGTTTACTAATTATTATTCTATCTTTCGGTTTGAGGACAAGCTAGGGGTTTTATAGGAGAGGCGTAGCGAGGGGAGGGCATATTTCCCCGGGTGCCGACCTTAGGGGGCGCCAAATTGGGTTGGAAAAAAATTGCGAGGGGGGGGGACAGGGGTGCAAATCGAAAGTTTGAGGGGGTGCAAATCACCGGAAAGGGCGCGATTTGGCGATACCGGCTAGACTGTGAGCAATATGCCTTTATGATTGCATTTAAATTGTGTTTATGTTATGAGTGTTGTGTTTGTTTTTTTTCGTTTTTTTTTTTTTTTTTTGCGTTCGTTTGTGTTGTGTTTAGTTTTGTTCTGTTCCCAAGTTGGTACATTTAAAAAAGATTTACCGTGGCGGAGCACGGGATGCAGCTAGTATATATATATATATATATATATATATATATATATATATATATATATATATATATATATATATATATATATATATATATGAGGTTCGCCTATCCAAATATAGCAGAAAAGTAGGTTGCACCGAGAGACGGACCAACCCTCCCCCCACCCATCATCACCTCCCTCTCTCCCTATTTCCTCACTGGAGAAGCCACTTAAAAGAAAAATCACGATTGTGTTGCCCATTCTTTCTCGTCTGCACTGTCAACGCAAAAAAAAAACAAAAAACAAGCCTCCCCCCCCCTCTAATTCCAACCGGCCCCTTAAATTGCAATTATTTCTCTTTAAGACAGTATTTTCTCTCTAACACATTGATCTTTTTTCCATCAGCAAAAGGACCTGACACAATGATTAATGACATACTGATAACGGCTTGCTAGTTAGTTGACGATTGTGCATAGAAAAAACATTAACCGATATCTAACAAAGGATATTCGAGCACTTGCTAAGTTGTTGTTTTTTTTGTTTGTTTTTTATATTTACAAATGTAAGTCTACACGAAAACTCGCCAGTAGCTGTTGACATTAAGCCACACTTCCTGATGCAACCGCTCTCCGTTACACATCTTGACCTTAGTTTGAGCATCAGTCCAAGAAAACGTCATATATAGACGACCCTGAACTATATCTAAAAATAACTTAACGTTGACCAAAAAAAAAAACTTCACTGTTGGTCTATGCATATATGATATGTATAACTATAAATGGGTTTATCCGGAGAAGAGAAATGCCTTCATTATTTTTTTTTTAATTTAGAAAAAGAACAAACATATTTAAAACAGATGCCGTTGTCAAATACATGGAGTCATGACGATGGTTTAAAAAGAATACCTGAAAATTTTTTCCTTGCTCTGGAAGTTTCTAGCGACGTCCAGCAGGAGTCCTCTGTACTTGTACCTCGGTCCATCAACAATGACGGTCTCAGGGATCTGGGGACATGTTTACGGGACATGTTTATGGGACATGTTTACGGGACATGTTTACGGGGCATGTTTACGGGACATGTTCCATGTTTATAGCTCAGTTCCGACACAAACGGAACAAATTCAAAAATTTACGTGAAAATAAAAAGAGTTTGAAATAAATAATCATATTCCCTTCCATTTACTTTTTGAAAAAAAAATATTTTACGTTGATTGTTTGATAAATCAAACGTAGTGGTTACTTATTTTATTAATAATAGACGGCAGGAAAGTGCATCTTATGTGTATTCACAGATGTCAGAAAAACTGAAACATTTTAAGTTCAGTCAAAAACGACATGAGAAGTATACTATTTTACGTTGGGTAAAAAAACTACAGGAAAAGTAGAATATCTTACAGTAAATGATACAGGGAAAGTATACTATATTATGGTAAAAGCTGCAGGAAAAGTATACTGTATTACTTTAAAAAACACTACGTGAAAAGTAAACAAATATTACGTTTCCATCCTTGTCCACTAGACTTAGGAGAGACTGAATGCCGTAGAATGCCCCGGCAGCTTTTGAAGCTTTGATGGTGATGATGTTGGTGACTGGGGTCACACGGAGTTCGTAAGCTGAGAGGGGTGGAATACATAGCTCATCAGTACATACATACATAGCTCATCAGTACATACATACATACATAGCTCATCAGTACATACACAGCTTATCAGTACATACACAGCTCATCAGTACATAGCTCATCAGTACATACATACATAGCTCATCAGTACATACATGCATAGCTCATCAGTACATACATACATAGCTCATCAGTACATAGCTCATCAGTACATACATACATGGCTCATCAGTACATACATACACAGCTAATCAGTACATATATAGCTCATCAGTATATACACAGCTCATCAGTACATACATACATAACTCATCAGTACATACATAGCTCATCAGTACATACATACATAGCTCATCAGTACATATATAGCTCATCAGTATATACACAGCTCATCAGTACATACATACATAACTCATCAGTACATACATCCATAGCTCATCAGTACATATATAGCTCATCAGTATATACACAGCTCATCAGTACATACATACATAACTCATCAGTACATACATAGCTCATCAGTACATACATACATAGCTCATCAGTACATATATAGCTCATCAGTATATACATACATAGCTCATCAGTACATACATACATAGCTCATCAGTACATACATAGCTCATCAGTACATACATACATAGCTCATCAGTACATATATAGCTCATCAGTATATACATACATAGCGCATCAGTACATACATACATAGCTCATCAGTACATAGCTCATCAGTACATATATAGCTCATCAGTACATACATACATAACTCATCAGTACATACATAGCTCATCAGTACATATATAGCTCATCAGTACATATATAGCTCATCAGTACATACATAGCTCATCAGTACATACATGCATAGCTCATCAGTACATACATACATAATTCATCAGTACATATATACATAGCTCATCAGTACATATATAGCTCATCAGTACATATATAGCTCATCAGTACATACATAGCTCATCAGTACATACATGCATAGCTCATCAGTACATACATACATAATTCATCAGTACATATATACATAGCTCATCAGTACATATATAGCTCATCAGTACATACATACATAGCTTATCAGTACATACATACATAGCTCATCAGTACATACATAGCTCATCAGTACATATATAGCTCATCAGTAAATACATAGATCATCAGTACATACATGCATAGCTCATCAGTACATACATAGCTCATCAGTACATACATGCATAGCTCATCAGTACATACATACATAATTCATCAGTACATATATACATAGCTCATCAGTACATACATACATAGCTCATCATTACATACTATAAAGATAGGCAGGATATATGAATACTACAGATTAAACTTATTCTTTGCCTATATTAATACAGGGTTCAAAACATTAACCCCCCCCCCCCCCCCCCCCCCCCGCAATCATTGCCTACTTGATCACTACCCCACAGATGAATTATCACCTGTCAAGGACCCCCCCCCCCCCCCCCATTAGTAAATACCCCTCACACTTCTCGAGTGTTATACATGTTATGGGTAAAGCAGGATACCCGATTTTCTTACAATAGACAGTCTTAAAATCTGATATTCATATTTCTCTGGGACTTGTGCAGGATACAGAACAGGGTACCAGTCAAAGTACGGAGGGAGCAACTAGCTTCCTCCAGAGCAGTTCCTAACCACAACCCTAACCTTAGCCCTAACTCCATTCATTTTCCTGACGTTTACCTTTTTTTTTCCTTATTATTAGGTAATTGGCCTTTACACGGGCATAGTGCTGACCCCACTAAACCCTTCACATGCCGAAGTCACGGAAACTGGTAAACTCTACTTTACTAGTCCCATGGATAGTCAGGTTCGAAAAGATAACTTTACTATTACGCGGGTAAAATTGAAAATTGGCAGTTGGTAATTAATCCTAAGGGTAATGTCGGTAGGGGGAGGAGGGGCTAATTTATTAATAATAAAATCTCCTCCCATTGCTACTATACCGACATCTACATCTACAACCACATCTACACATACATCTACATCTACAACCACATCTACACTGACATCTACATCTACAACCATATCCACACCGACATTTACATCTACAACCATATCCACACCTGCATCTACATCTACAACCATATCCACACCGACATCTACAACCATATCCACACCTGCATCTACATCTACAACCATATCCACACCTGCATCTACATCTACAACCATATCCACACCGACATCTACATCTACAACCATATCCACACCTGCATCTACATCTACAACCATATCCACACCTGCATCTACATCTACAGCCATATCCACACCTGCATCTACATCTACAACCATATCCACACCGACATCTACATCTACAACCATATCCACACCTGCATCTACATCTACAACCATATCTACACCGACATCTACAACCATATCCACACCTGCATCTACATCTACAGCCATATCCACACCTGCATCTACATCTACAACCATATCTACACCGACATCTACAACCATATCCACACCGACATCTACATCTACTACCATATCCACACCGACATCTACATCTACAACCATATCCACCCCGACATCTACATCTACAACCATATCCACACCTGCATCTACAACCATATCCACACCTGCATCTACATCTACTACCATATCCACACCGACATCTACATCTACAACCATATCCACCCCGACATCTACATCTACAACCATATCCACACCTGCATCTACATCTACTACCATATCCACACCTGCATCTACATCTACAACCATATCCACACCGACATCTACATCTACAACCATATCCACACCGACATCTACATCTACAACCATATCCACACCGACATCTACATCTACAACCATATCCACACCTGCATCTACATCTACAACCATATCCACACCTGCATCTACAACCATATCCACACCTGCATCTACATCTACAACCATATCCACACCTGCATCTACAACCATATCCACACCTGCATCTACATCTACAACCATATCCACACCTGCATCTACAACCATATCCACACCTGCATCTACATCTACAACCATATCCACACCTGCATCTACAACCATATCCACACCTGCATCTACATCTACAACCATATCCACACCGACATCTACAACCACATCTACACCGACATCTACATCTACAACCATATCCACACCTGCATCTACATCTACAACCATATCTACACCGACATCTACATCTACAACCATATCCACACCGACATCTACATCTACAACCATATCCACACCGACATCTACATCTACAACCATATCCACACCTGCATCTACATCTACAACCATATCCACACTTGCATCTACATCTACAACCATATCCACACCGACATCTACATCTACTACCATATCCACACCTGCATCTACATCTACAACCTTATCCACACCGACATCTACATCTACAACCATATCCACACCGACATCTACAACCATATCCACACCGACATCTACATCTACAACCATATCCACTCCGACATCTACATCTACAACCATATCTACACCGACATCTACATCTACAACCATATCCACACCTGCATCTACATCTACAACCATATCCACACCGACATCTACAACCATATCCACACCGACATCTACATCTACAACCATATCCACACCTGCATCTACATCTACAACCATATCCACACCGACATCTACATCTACAACCATATCTACACCGACATCTACATCTACAACCATATCCACACCTGCATCTACATCTACTACCATATCCACACCGACATCTACATCTACTACCATATCCACACCGACATCTACATCTACAACCATATCCACACCGACATCTACATCTACAACCATATCCACACCTGCATCTACATCCCATTTCTACATTATATTCAAGGTTTTCTTCTTGAATTTAAAATAAAAATAAATTTACATTTCGTGTCATATCTACTGTCATAACTCGTGTCAGCGTCAATTGGTTCTGTATAAAAGGTCTTATTTGTTTTTCAAAGAGGTGTTTGTTTATGATAACAGGACCGACGCTGTTCACACAATTCTTCTCAGAATCTTATCTTGGGATTTTTTTTTATGTTAAAGTCAAAAATTAAGTCTGAAATGTGAAGCGTGTCGAAAGAAAAACTATTCTGTAGTTTGTCTAGCGTGAATCCAACATATTTTAGTGTCCATAGTTTTAAGCTTTTGTATCAGTGCAGTGTTTGCATTGTTTTCTATATAACAGCTGCCTTATAATTTTATGGGGTGATCTTCGTGTGTCTACTTCGACTACGACGTTTAGTTACTATCTATATTAATATTTGATATTAAGTTATTAGCTTCGCAAACATTTGGCCTTGGGTTATTGAGTACACTAAAAAAAGACCTTGAGTTGTTGAGTACACTATAAAAACATTTTTAGCTATTAACTATAATATGACCTTGAGTTATTGAGTATATTATAATATGACCAAGAGATATTAGATACACTATGTTATAACCTTGAGGTTTTAGCTGCACTAACATTGAACACACGTGCTTTGGCCTAGTTGAGCAAACGGTCTATGCTTTTAGTCTTTATCCACGCTATACTTCTATTTTGTTGCTGTCATTAGTGTCATTTGAACTACTATTTGTACCTACTTTAAAGTATGACCTACATTCTGTATCTACTTTAACGTATTACCTACATTTTGTATATACTTTATCTATTTTAACGTATGACCTACATTCTGTATCTACTTTAACGTATTACCTACATTTTGTATGTACTTTATCTTTATACTTACATTTTGTAGCTACTTTAACGTATGACCTATATTTTGAATCCGATTTAACGTATGACCTACATTTGTACCAACTACCACAATTTGTGTCTATTTTTTATCATGCAACCTTGGGTCAGTCTCTACCCTATCCGATGACTTGCATTCGATCAGTCTCTACCCTATCCGTTGACTTACATTCGATCAGTCTCTACCCTATCCGTTGACTTACATTCGATCAGTCTCTACCCTATCCGTTGACTTACATTCGATCAGTCTCTACCCTATCCGATGACTTACATTCGATCAGTCTCTACCCTATCCGTTGACTTACATTCGTCTGTGGGTAACGTCTTGTCCTTATAGCTGACCGGCACTTCCTCCTCCAAGAATGAGATGCAGTAGCTGCCAGGCTTCCTCAGCACCATCTTCATGCCCCAGGTCTCTGTGGGGGGGGGGGGGGGGGAAGCAAGTAATTCAGTTGGGTCGTTCATTATAGTTCATGCTACACGGGTCATATGTGACCCACACGGGTCATATCTGACCCAGCTGCTCGAATCAAGTAACTCAGTGAGAACGTCGACCATAGTTCATGCTACACGGGTCATATATGACACACACGGGTCATATATGACACACACGGGTCATATCTGACTCACACGGGTCATATCTGACCCACACGGGTCATATCTGACCCAACCGCTCGAATCAAGTAACTCAGTGAGGTCGTCCACCATGGTTCATGCTACACGGGTCATATGTGACCCACACGGGTCATATCTGACCCACACGGGTCATATTTGATCCACACGGGTCATATCTGATCCACACGGGTCATATGTGACGCACACGGGTCATATGTGACCCACACGGGTCATATCTGATCCACACGGGTCATATCTGATCCACACGGGTCATATTTGATACACACGGGTCATATTTAATACACACGGGTCATATCTGATCCACACGGGTCATATCTGATTCACACGGGTCATATCTGATCCACACGGGTCATATTTGATACACACGGGTCATATCAGATCCACACGGGTCGTATCTGACCCAACTGCTCGAATCGAGTCACTCAATGAGGTCACCAGAGTTTCTTTCAGGCATTTCTTTGGAGGCACTGAACCCCCCCCCCCCCCCCCCCCACAAAGGAAACAATAAATATATAGAAAATATATACTTTTACCTTTGTCCTCCCCCCCCCCCCCCACCTTATAGAAAAATGTCTGAAAGAAACACTTGAGGTCATCCTCAATAGTTCACGCTCAACACTTGATTTCTGACCATTCACCCCGATATTAAGTTTTAACTAAATCTCACCCACAGCTTAGATTCGAGTAAACATACACGATTTGTTGTAAAGGTTTAGGAATCTAACTTGTATTGGGTCTTTAGTAAATTCCCTAAACCTTTTCATTATCAAAACTAATGCCGGGTACGGTAGTATTGCTGAGTCAGCATGAAAAGTCAACATGGTACGATATGTATTTCAAAAATACAACTTAAAAAAAAATACTTGAGCGACCCCTACTTCAAATAGATTGTTTAATGTGTTTTGTTTGTAATCGATAAAACATATAACATCGATTGGTATAATAAGTCTGTAACACGTGTAGGGTATTATAATAGACGTTATGTAGTGGATTAAAAACAGAGTTTAAGCGTGCTTCTGTAGTGTTGTTTTTTTATACAACTCACACTGTAATAACTTGCATTAAAAATCGTCAACGTCCTAACCATTATCATAAACCATATGCCATGGTCTAACCTTCCCTTTCATCTACAGCCTAAAAATATTGACACAACCGGCTTACAATATAACATCTGTAGCATAATTGATGTTTCTTTGACAAAGGGTCGGTTATGAATTGGATACAAATGCTCTTTAGTTTTACTTGTACGTGGTATGTTTTTATTCTAGTGTTGCGTGTGTTTTTGTGTGCGTGTCGTTTGTGCATGTATTAAACATAACTTGTATAAGTATGTGTGTTCGCCTGCCGCGTGTATCCGTATTTTTGTGTGCATGGTATGCGTAAGTGTGTCGTGTGTGTATTTATGTTTACGCGTCGTTTACGAAAGTGCAGAAACGTATTGAGAAAAATTATGTGTTCGTGTGAAACAGTGGCGTAGCCAGGATCGTCTCAAGGGGAGGGGGGGGGGGGTCCAATTTTTACCCGGGGACAAACTTTCGATTTGCACCCCCCCCCCAATCAAACTTTTGATTAGCACCCCCCTCATACTTTATATATATATATATATATATATATATATATATATATATATATATATATATATATATATATACCGAGGGGTCTATGTGGGGTCTGACCCCCCTAACCCCCCTGCCTACGCCACTGATGTGCAAAGTGTATATCGTGTGCGTAGGTGAGTCGGTGTATTAAGTTGTGTACACGTGTCTATTGTGTCTGTGTGGATACTATCATCTTCATCTTTTTTTCCCTCTTGTGTCCAAGACACAGGGAACCTCCACAGAAAGATCCCTGCACGTTTGCCTTTCTCTGGTAATTTTCTTGGCAGTACCCTAATTGATGCCTATCTTTGTATTCTGTGTGTATCCTATACATTCGTACAAAGCTAATGGCAAATCAATAGATCATAGATGTCGTAGATGTCATAGATGTCACAGATGTTGGCATTTAGTCTCCACCACATGACCTTCTACTGATCTGTTGACCTTTAAGAACTCACCACTTAAATACTGAGCCTCGTTTGCGAATCTTGTCTCTGTGTATATGACCCAGCTGTTGGTGAGTACATTGACAGATGCTTGGGGGTTGTGCACTTGCACGTGAAGCGGTCTGGAGAGAACATAAACAATAGCTGTATGACATTTATAAATAAAGAAGACTAACATTTAAATTTTAAAAAAAACAAGAGCTGTATGACGTTTATAAATAAAGGAGACCAACATTCAAATTTTAAAAAATAAAACAATAGTTTTATGACGTTTATAAATATAGGAAACCGACATTTAAATTTTAAAAAATAAACAATAGCTGTATGACATTTATAAATAAAGAAGACTAACATTTAAATTTTCAAAAATAAACAATAGCTGTATGACGTTTATAAATAAAGAAGACTAACATTTAAATTTCAAAAATAAACAATAGCTGTATGACGTTTATAAATAAAGAAGACTAACATTTAAATTTAAAAAAAAACAATAGCTGTATGGCATTTATAAATAAAGGAGACCAACATTTAAATTTAAAAAAAAACAAGAGCTGTATGACGTATATAAATAAAGGAGACATTTAACTTAAGTTGCTTTAGGAAGAGCAAATGGTGACTCCCATTTTAGTGACTGCTCGCTTATAAGAAATTATATATGTTGTGGGGCAAAAAAATAACGCGATGGTTAGTTAGATTAGGGCTGCATTGACTAATGAGATGGGTGGATTCAGGTGTTTTCGGTGGACATGACAGGTGCCCATCAGAGCTAGGTGGACTCAGTGACGTTCTAGAGACATGCCAGGTATCCATTAGAACTGGGTAGACTCAATGAGTTTCTAGAGACATGTCATGTATCCATTAGAGCTGGGTAGACTCAAGTTCTAGAGACATGTCATGTATCCATTAGAGCTGGGTAGACTCAAGTTCTAGAGACATGTCATGTATCCATTAGAGCTGGGTAGACTCAAGTTCTAGAGACATGTCATGTATCCATTAGAGCTGGGTAGACTCAAGTTCTAGAGACATGTCATGCATCCATTAGAGCTGGGTAGACTCAAGTTCTAGAGACATGTCATGCATCCATTAGAGCTGGGTAGACTCAAGTTCTAGAGACATGTCATGCATCCATTAGAGCTGGGTAGACTCAAGTTCTAGAGACATGTCATGTATCCATTAGAGCTGGGTAGACTCAAGTTCTAGAGACATGTCATGCATCCATTAGAGCTGGGTAGACTCAAGTTCTAGAGACATGTCATGCATCCATTAGAGCTGGGTAGACTCAAGTTCTAGAGACATGTTATGCATCCATTAGAGCTGGGTAGACTCAAGTTCTAGAGACATGTCATGCATCCATTAGAGCTGGGTAGACTCAAGTTCTAGAGACATGTCATGCATCCATTAGAGCTGGGTAGACTCAAGTTCTAGAGACATGTCATGCATCCATTAGAGCTGGGTAGACTCAAGTTCTAGAGACATGTCATGCATCCATTAGAGCTGGGTAGACTCAAGTTCTAGAGACATGTCATGCATCCATTAGAGCTGGGTAGACTCAAGTTCTAGAGACATGTCATGCATCCATTAGAGCTGGGTAGACTCAAGTTCTAGAGACATGTCATGCATCCATTAGAGCTGGGTAGACTCAAGTTCTAGAGACATGTCATGCATCCATTAGAGCTGGGTAGACTCAAGTTCTAGAGACATGTTATGCATCCATTAGAGCTGGGTAGACTCAAGTTCTAGAGACATGTCATGCATCCATTAGAGCTGGGTAGACTCAAGTTCTAGAGACATGCCATGTATCCATTAGAGCTGGGTAGACTCAATGAGTTTCTAGAGACATGCCAGGTATCCATTAGAGCTGGGTAGACTCAAGTTCTAGAGACATGTCGGATACCACTCTGAGATTGTTCTATCTTTAGACCTTCTAAGCCCCTAAGCCTGGAACTCCCGTGCTTTACAATATCTTCACAAGGCACAGTTCACGTGGAGAAGACAGTAAAAGTGGCCCACCCAGGTTTAATACTTCCTAGTTGTGGAATATTTAACATGGGCTCAAAACAACAAACATTAAGACAGCTACTTCACGTGGGTAAGATTGGGGGGGGGGGGTACCAAACAACAGACATTAAGACAGACGGGATGAGGGAGGGGGGGTAGGGGACAAACAACAGACATTAAGACAAGATGGGGTAGGGGACAAACAACAGACATTAAGATGGCCAACTCACGTGGGTAGGATAGGATTAGGGGCCACTCCCAGGTCCTCTGTGGCCATCATGAGGTAACGCTTGGTGGCCGAGAAAGGACTTAGGACGTCATAATCTGGGTCAGCAATGACCAGGTTCCTCTTCCAGGCGGCCGGGCTGTTGTAGGGGGCGACAAAGTCCATCGACTCCCCGCGGGTGTTTTCTATGACCCTCGCCTCGAGCCCAGGGGCTTCTAGGTACCTGGAGGATATATCATTGATGGATCAGTGCATTGTGGGTACAGAATTATAGGGATCAGACCATTGGGGTACATAATACAGGGATCAGACCATTGGGGTACACAAAATATGGATCAGAAATATGGGGTACACAATTATAGGGATAAGAACTTTGGGGTACAAAATTATAGGGATTATAGAATGGGGGTACATCATCATACGGATCAGAAATACGGAGTAAAAAAAATACAGGATTAAAGGGATTAGAGTATGGGGTACACAACTATAGGGATCAGAACATTGGGGTACAAAAGTTTAAGAATTAGAGAATGGGGGGGGGGGGTAAAAAAAGAGATCAGAACATTGGGTGATCAATACTATTAGAATAAAAACTAGCTTATGAATTAATTAGAACATTTAAGGTACAATGCTACCGTTAGAATTTATTTCTAATACAAAAATTATAGGGTAAATATTGTTCTACTGTTGCTGTTCGATAGGGTGTAAAACCGTCTAAACAAGAGAAAACACAGGGTTCAGTAAAAGTAAATAAAGACTGTGTTTTTACTATGTTAATATTAGTCAATAACGATTTAGTCCCAATACCTGATAATCGATTCCGATGCTAACATTATTATGCAGGCGTACATACAGTGTTTCTTTGAGAAATTTTCTCTGGTGAGAGTTGCGGGGGGGGGGGGGGGGGGGGGGGGGGGGGGTACTAGAAACTAGACTTAATTTTCCGAGGGGACGGAATAAATTTTCAGGGGATGGGGAGGTCTTGACACTGGTATAAGTATATTTTTCTATACAACCTCTATTTCGTTCGGCGGGGCTGTGGAACTGAAACAAACTCAGCGTACACGGTTTTCTACAATTTCATAACCAAATAGACAAAAAAGAAGTGCACGTAATGGCTTAAAACCTGAGGTCTTAATTAAGAAAATAAATACTCACCAATTGGGATGGACATCACTAAGGGCTACGTTGGAGTGCTCGCTGATGTAGCGGATAAACTTGCTCTTGCCGGCTCGGATGGTTCCGAACCTGGACGTGGGTTCCATGCGGTAGACGTTCCCCATGAGGAAGTAGAAGCGGACCCCGTATTTGGGCTTGTCGATGCCATCGGGGTAGGGGTACGAGTTGGGCTCAACCAAAGACGGCTAGGGTAGAAAGATTTTGTCTTTATAGACGGATCGCTTACACTGAACTAGATTGGTTTAACATCACGTTTAAGAAATGTTTACAACAAGGCTCTAATGCACGGGTTCCCAACCTGGGGGTCGCGACCCCCCTGGGGGTCGCGAAGGTCTTTCTGGGGGGTCGCCAACTGGTATACTAAACCTTAGTAATTTGAAACAAAACATAAATATTTAGAAGAATTTTTGAAATTCGGCTTCATTAACATCACTGGAAATGTAATAGAGAAGAAACAAAGCACACCGTACAAAGTTGTTCTCAGTCACGAATCTATGAAATCTTCAAAACTAAAACGTCATTTGAGACGAGTCATTCGGAACACAACAAAAATATATGGAGTTCTTTCGTCGGTAAGAAGCTAGTTGCAAACGCCAGAAACTTGATCGAACAGGAAATTTTCACCAGCATTAGTGCAAGCATCAAATGAAGTCGCGATAGAAAATGCCAAGCGAAAAAAAAAACAATAGGAGAAAATCTCATCAAACGCTGCATGTACGTAAATGTTAAATAGGCCCTAACACATTTTTATTGAAATTAAGCTTTCATCATTGTTTGCTTTTCAAGTTGATGAATCAACAGACGTGAGTTCGTGTTCGCAGTTGCTGGTCTGTGTTTATATTCATGCGGATGATAGCAAAGAAGAGTTGATCTTTTGTGAAGATAGCATGGAGAAAATAAATACCTTTTTTGAAACTGGATGATTAAAATGGGTTAGAACGGCTGTGGGGGTTTGTACGGATGGTGCGCCATCTATGTTTAGCGTCTCCAGGTTTTGGTTGTAGGGGGAGCGAAAAGAGCAAAAAAAGGCGCCGAATTTTTAACACGTTCTATATACGTGAATATATATATATATATATATATATATATATATATATATATATATATATATATATATATATATATATATATATAATTACTAGCTGTAATTATTTAAGACAAGTGAAATATGGGAAATAATCACTCTTTTAATATAAATATGTATATATCTACACATTTTTAATAAACGTCAAAACAAATAAATAATTACTTAAGAATATAATGAAATTGTTTAACACTATTCGTGTTTACAAAATGTTTTTGTCTATAATCAGAATTTAATATATCGTCATCATAAATGCTAAAGTATTACAGCATAATGAAAGTTTTTAAAATCAGAGATGGTATAAAACCACGCTTTTCGATATAATATAACAACATACGGAATAACAGCCTACATTTAACTAAATATCGGTTCAACTTCATTCACCACTGTCCGTTCACTTTAGGTCAATTATCCAACCCAGTGTATACCTAGGTGTGACATTGATGTCGCTCTACACAATTGTGGTTGTGAGGTGTGTGTGTGTGGGAGGGGGGGGGGGGAGAGATAACCAACTCAGAGTGAACATAGCGTCAGTTTTTAGATGACTGTTCTAAACATACATATATATTACACAAAGATATACTACACAAATATATATTACAGAAATAGATTTAAATAAGTAGCAGTGGTATTATGGCAATATTTTTTTACAGAGGGGTCCATGGGGAGGGGGGTTGTAACTGTTTCATATAATTTGTAATCGTAATCACTATCGCCCAAACTGTAAGAATACAACTACTTCATCGTGATGACGCTGTTGACCTTGTCAAAATTTCACCACCACTACGGAGTTTGCTCATAAGTAAATTTAAATAGAGATGCCACATCAGTTGTATTTGTTTCTGTATTGTAATTTTTTAAAAATTAATCACACGATTCTAACTGTATATATATAAAGTAATTATGTGTGAAGTTTTATGTATAACATTTTCTAATTCAATTATTCGTTAGAAAATACATTACACAGTTGCCTTAAACTTTACACCCCTCTTGCCAAGTGGTACTAACGTAGAGGTTTTTTAAACATTGCAATGCATCGTAATGGTTATTTTTAGAATGGCAAACTGATGCAGCTGTTGTAAACAATAATGCTTAATTGCTGCATGAAAAGAAATCTTGTGATTTACATAGATGTGCCGACCAAAAATATTTTTTTAAACAAATATCATTGTTTAAAACTTTGAATTTAAAAAGTTTCCAAAAAGGCGCCACTTTGCTGAAAATGGCCAGAGGGGGAGCGGCCGCTCCCCCTGCTCCCCCCTGCGTACGCTACTGCCCTAACCAGACGATATCAAGACTCCACTGCTAGTATAAGTCGTAAATTATATAAAATCTGGAGCCTTCAAAGAACTGTGCAAAAACATTAATATAGATCACGAGGTTCTGCTCTTCTACGCTACAGTACCATGGCTGTCAAATGAAATATTGTAAATTGTGTTTTTGAATTGAAATCTGAAATCAAATTGTTCTTGGGAGTGCAAAGGAAACAAGACTTTTTGGTATACTTAAAACGACAGAGTGGTTGGAGAGAGTATCATACCTAGCAGATAAGTTCGAACATCAAGATAAGCTTAACCTGAAGCTTCAGGGAAATGAACGACTATTATAACTTTCCATGATAATCTCGGGGCATTTTTATCAAAGCTGCAAAATCGGTAAAGAAAACAAATATTGGAAATATTGTAAATTTGAGAAACTCTGCGGTGTGGTAGATGAATCTGATTGTGAGATAATTAACATTTTGAAAGAAGCGATTTCTGGGCATCTTGAATCTCTTGAAAACGAACTGCATCGCTATTTCTCTGAGCTGAAAAAAGAAGAATCTGCATTTACGCATTACCCATTCTCTTCTTCCCTTGATGTTGCCAGCATTCTCGATGAATTACAAGATGAATTCTTTGATTTGCAGAATGATTCCGAGTAAGATGAAAAACCGCAGACACAATTTTGGTGAAGTATTCACCATTCATACCCAAACGTAAAATTGATTGACTTTTCGAGAATATATTTTCAAAAGTATTCTTCGATTAAAAACAAAATTAAGATAATTATAATTATATAGGTTGGCGTTAACAAAATTTTTTTAAAATTAAAAACTTAACCACGAAGGTTTAGTGAATAGTATGAAATTTTACTCATGCTATTAAAACAGTTATCAAGAGTAGTTCATATTGAAAGTCTACTAGAAAAATCTTATTTTAGTGCTTATTAATTTCCATACTAATTTCGGGTTTTTAATTCTATGGGGGTCGCGGGTCACTTACTTTTTATAAAAGGGGGTCGCCACTCGAAAAAGGTTGGGAACCACTGCTCTAATGTTTTGTTTTTCGTAAGGTTTTTTTGTATATAATGCACTTGGTGAAAACACATTGTTGTGTGATAATGGTAAAGGATAAGGCTAGGAATGTTTGGACTTGATGGCTTGGTGGGGTGTACACAAAACGGTGTATAAATCTCGAAAAAAAAAGAGAAAAATTGAGTTATAACAGTCTGGTTCTGGGAGATTAATATATTTGTATAGATATGAACATTCTAAATCTATATCTATACCTATACCTATATCTATATCTATATCTATATCTATATCTATGTCTATGCCTATGCCTATGCCTATGCCTATGCCTATGCCTATGCCTATGTCTATGTCTATGTCTATGTCTATGTCTATGTCTATGTCTATGTCTATGTCTATGTCTATGTCTATGTCTATGTCTATGTCTATGTCTATGTCTATGTCTATGTCTATGTCTATGTCTATGTCTATGTCTATGTCTATGTCTATGTCTATGTCTATGTCTATATCTATATCTATATCTATATCTATATCTATATCTATATCTATATCTATATCTATATCTATATCTATATCTATATCTATATCTATATCTATATCTATATCTATATCTATATCTATAATTTCCGTTATATATATATATATATATATATATATATATATATATATCAATTCTGGTGCCAAGATACCATTACATGTAGATTCATAGATATAAGTATAAATAAAGGTTAAGGTCATTTCCATCCATTCAATGACTGGTCAGTGTCCAAGAACAGGTGAGAGAGGGATGGACTGACCTGAGAAAACACGATGCCCCAGCCTTGTGATGGGAATGTCCGCTTGCCCTTGTTGGTGAGCAGAATCTCAGCCTCGAATAACTTCTTGTTGAAGTAGGAGTTCTCTAGGACGGTGAAGTTGAGCTGGATGTTCTTGGCGAAGTAGTCGAGTTCCTCCTGGGTGAGTGCTGGGGGAATGAAAAGTAGGGGTAGGGTGAGGGGTATGGTGAGGGTAAAGTGAGGGTAAAGTGAGGGTAAAGTTTAGGGTAAAATGAGGTAAAGTGAAGGTGAGGTGAGGGTAAAGTGAAGGGTAAAGTTTAGGGTAAAGTGAAGGTGAGGTGAGGGTAAAGTGAAGGGTAAAATGAAGGTAAAGTGAGGTTAAAGTGAAGGTGAGGTGAGGGTAAAGTGAAGGGTAAAGTTTAGGGTAAAGTGAAGGTGAGGTGAGGGTAAAGTGAAGGGTAAAATGAAGGTAAAGTTAGGTTAAAGTGAAGGTGAGGTGAGGGTAAAGTTTAGGGTAAAGTGAAAGTAAAGTGAGGGTGAAGTTTAGGGTAAAGTCAGGGTAAAGTTTAGGGTAAAGTGAAGGTAAAGTGAGGGTAAAGTTTAGGGTAAAGTTTAGGGTAAAGAGAGGGTGAGGGTAAAGCGAGGGTAAACTCCAGATACTTTTGTGCAAGTGCAAAGAAAAGGAGAGAGAATACAAAGTAAAGGTTAGAATGTGTATACCAAATAGTCGAGAGGCGCTACGGTAACAACTAAAATCGGGTCAGGAGTGAGGGAATCGAGAGGGTTAAAATGTGAAATCGTTCATTCTGCTTCGTTCTTCCGTGTTGGACGGGAATTCCCCCACCATTGTTCAGTGTTAGGTGTCAACTTTTTTTCTGCCATATATATAGACCGGTGACTCAGATTTCAGCACGCATTTTCTTTTTTATCTAAAATCCTGTTTCAAATTGCTAGGTGTAATTCTCTATTTTCTTTTACGCTGAGCATTACGAAGCATTAGCTGTTTCACATATCCGCGTTGGTTCGAATGTGTCAGCCTAGAGGTAGGGGGGGTTATGTGGGGTATGTCAGTCTTATGTGAAAATGTTGGCGTGATTGGGGGCAAGTTTTAGACAGGTTAAGTATTACAATTGGAATTTTCTTATATCCAGAATAATAATGGAACGGAATTTTTTTTAATTTAAGTTGGAGATGTTAAGCTAAAACGTTTCGAAGTGAATGGCCGGGTGTGTGTGAGTGTGTGTTTTTTTGGTGTGGGAGGGAAGGGGGGGTGGCGGGGGCGGTGGGGGAGCACACCAGTTACAGCACACCAGCTTGCAACGTATGCACCCTAACACCAAGGGCCTTAACTCACATGTTACCTTAGCAATCACAAAACTTTAGCTCGAACATAGAACCTTAACACAAATAATAATCATTAAAAAAGTTTTAAAAAACCCACGTTTTCTGATTGAACTAAAAAGTAGAAAATAAATGCTATACATCACAATAATGCAAGCGATCACTGTACAATAAGCGATGAAAAACGTGGGGCGCCGAAGTAAAAGTTATATTACTATTGATTTGATAATACTATTGACTTTTATTAGGGAGCTTGTAGAGAGTCAACAGTATTAGAAACTGTAAGAAAATCACGGCGCCCCACGTTTTTGATCGCTTATAGTAGAGTGATCGCTTGCATTATTGTGATGTATAGCATTTATTTTCTACTTTTTAGTTCAATCAGAAAACGTGGGTTTTTTTTAAACTTTTTAAATGATTATTATTTTCTACTTTTTAGTCTTTGTCTGTTTGTTTGCATTAAAATCTTGCTATCGATTTTATCTTTTCACTTTTTTTTGGGTAAACGAAGACAACTCGTAAAAAACACGTTGTGTGAGTACGTTACTGACTAGAACACATAGATTTGAACCCGTGTCGAGTGGGATAGCAATCGTGTGCCTAATCACTCGACCATATCGTCTCCCCCATACTGGCCACCAGTTGTTACGGTTGTTTGTACACAAACACCGCGTGAACACTACTCAGTAAGCAAAGAGGGAGAGTACCGAACCTTGTTTTCATCAAATTACAGTTACTGGGTGATGTCCCTTTTTCCCCACGTTTTTACTACAATTATATAGCGGTCTAAAATGCTCAATAAAATGTTTCCATGGATCGATTTAGTAATAATAACAATTGAATATTCTATTGTCATCCAAAACAAAGCTTCCCTGAAAATTTCAGCGCGCTAGCTAACTGGGAAGTGCCAGAAATTTCGATCGCAAGATTTGATCGGAAAAACAGAGACGAAAGCAAATTAAAGAAAACGTGGGAAACACACACACACACACACACGCAAAGGTAACCCTAATTTACACAGAACCCTAGCTTACACACACATTTTACTGATAGAGAACCCTTACATACATCACACTAACGGAGAACCATGCCTCAACCATAACCCTAACACTCACGCCATTTCAGCCCACCTAATCCCAAAACCCACTCATTAACCCAGCACACCACCGTCGTAAACACCCCCTCCTGCTACATTAATTAAGAAAAACCATTACCGCCGTAATTAATGACAGCCATCACGGCGGCCTTAAATCAACAGACACTGCTCACCATTGCCAGAACACAGACATCGAGAGAAAACCGATGCCTTGATGGCTCCTCCTGATGATGAGGATCACTGGGTTCTAGGGTGCCGTTAATTTTCAGGTTTAATTTGACACCGAATTCCCGTGGTTTTTAAGTAATTTGTGTGTTTGTGTGCGTGCATGCGCGCGCGTGTGTGTGTGTGTGTTTGTGTGTGTGTGTGTGTGTGTAGAAAGAAGAGCGTGTGGATATAGTAGCTAGTATAAAAATAGTAGTGTTAGGAGCTGTAAGCGAAGTCATAGTATGCTAGGTAGTGCGAGAGGACAGCAAGACATTAAGGGGAGAAAACTCGTCAATCAAACAACTGCCATATGTCGAGTTGGTCGGTTGCTTAACCGGTAAGTCCCAAGTTCTAACCCTCAGGCAGATGTGGCTCCAAAATAAAAAAAAAACAACAGCTGCCTTGTGGTTTGTTCTTAGTTGGACAAAGGCGGCCTTATTTGCACATAATAAGTTAAGACGAAAAACTAAAAATTGTGATGGAGGAAATCACTTCAATAATTACATTTTAGAACGGCCTCAACACCTGAACCAGTTACCTACCCCAACACCTGAACCAGTCACCTACCCCAACACCTAAACCAGTCACCTACCCCAACACCTAAACCAGTCACCTACTCCATCACCTAAACCACCTACCAACACCTGAACCAGTCACCTACCCCAACACCTGAACCAGTCACCTACCCCAACACCTAAACCAGTCACCTACCCCAACACCTAAACCAGTCACCTACTCCATCACCTAAACCACCTACCAACACCTAAACCAGTCACCTACCCCAACACCTAAACCAGTCACCTACTCCAACACCTAAACCAGTCACCTACTCCATAACCTAAACCAGTCACCTTCCCCAACACCTAAACCAGTCACCTACTCCATAACCTAAACCAGTCACCTACTCCAACACCTAAACCAGTCACCTACTCCAACACCTAAACCAGTCACCTACTCCAACACCTAAACCAGTCACCTACTCCAACACCTAAACCAGTCACCTACCCCAACACCTGAACCAGTCACCTACCCCAACACCTGAACCACCTACCAACACCTAAACCAGTCACCTACCCCAACACCTAAACCAGTCACCTAACCCATCACCTAAACCAGTCAGCTACCCAGTGTTTCTTCCAGACATTTGTCTACGGGAGGGCACTTGATATCTTCGGGGGGGGGGGGGGGAGTGGGAACGGTCAACATTTTCCGGGGGGGGGGGCGGGGGCGGCGAGACACTGGTAAAAGTATATATTTTCTATATAAATTCCGTTTCGTTCGCGGTGGGGGGGGGGGGGGGGCGAGGGGGGGGGGGGCGGTAGACTTTCTTGGGTGGGGGGGGAGGAGAGGCCTGGAAGAAACTCTGCACCTTTCCCCACCACCTGCCACAGTCACCCACCACCACACCCGAAGAAGAAAACAACCTCCAACACCACCACACCTGAATCACCCCCCAACCTTCATTCCCTCCTTACCTCTAATACCATTATCTCCTAACAAATCATCCAATTTTAACGACAGATTATCCGGCGGCGGGTTTTGTTCGCCGACCATATCTCCCGGAAGATAAACAAACATCAAGATACTGGCCAGAACGAACGAACTGATCAGCCAGATGAGCTTGTAATCTAATCTCTCTGCCACCTCACGCACGGCACAGCTCAACTTCCGCCACTCCGCGGCTAGATCCTCGAGCTCCGGCACGCTTTTTTTATCCAGATGCTTCTCCACCATTTTACAACCGGAAAACTCAAAAAAAAAATTATTATTGCTTGTTGGTTCTAGTTTTGGTTTTCCGCCATCTTCGGTTTGCGGACTTCCGGGAAACATAAATTGTTTACGTAATTAAACTTTTTAAAAAACGTTTTAAGAAAGAAACAAATGATGACTTAAATATAATTTATTTCGTTGAATTAAAACGGGGGAAAAAAACTGACAAACTTAAAAAAAAATATTTTTGAACATTTCTGATTTCAAAATTAACTAAAGGCATTAATACGAATTTAACTTATGATAGTGAAAAAAGAATGAACAAAAATTGATTTTAAGTGAATAAGTAGAATCTTATTCAGTTTTGTAAAACAATATTTAATATTTTAAGTTGGACAAGAAAAAAAAATATTTATTGATTATGTCTGTGAATTACTATCATTATTTTTTAAAGGTATTGGAAGCTCTATTTTAAGATAATTACATTAATTAGTGTCAGAGAATGTTATAAGTGATTTAGTTTAACAGTAGAGTTCTAACAATCAAACAATACAGTGAGAATAAAAGTTTCGCATAAAATATACAAGACTTCTATTAAAAACTCAAGTTCTAGACCTACTTACACCAAAAAAAAAAACTTGATTACGAAGACCGGATAATTGTAATTAAAACGATGGTTTGCCTAATCAAGTAAGCGTTTTAGTTTTAAAATATTGATTACCCATTTTTTACATCAAATAAAACTACGTTTATTTACAATTCGTGTTTTTTCTTACAGCCCGTAGCTCAGGACTATTGTCTGAGTATTTCAGCTAACAGATAATTAACAAACCAATCCATTTTTAACGTTTGTATTCTAATGGTTGAAACTCAAAAATTATTGTGTAGCAGTAGCGTCACAAAGTGGGGGGGGGGGGGGGGGGGGCTCGGTCTGCACCGGGTGACATCATTTAAGGGGTGGCACCAAATCGATAAAGCGTAAATATAACAATCAAAATAATTTTTTGTCCAGTTAAAATGATAAAATAGCCGACACCAAACCACAAATGCAAAATTGATGAAAGGGGTAGTGGCTACACCCTCAGTGACAACATTAGTTGACACCCCAGCTAGTTACCCCATTATTGAGTAGTCTTGTACTTCACGCGTTTGTTTCCTTTGTAATTCCCTTCTGTACCGCATTTTTTAATTCGCAATGTCGCACAGAGTCTAACCAAAGCCTTAATAAAAACCACTTTTATTTTTATATACAAAAATGTAATACTATATGTTCCTGTTGTAGAAGTGGATCCAAATAAAGCTAATATTCCTTGAACTTGTTCAGGCACGTTCAAGGATCGATATAGAACATGTTAGAGGGAAGACATAACTAACTGGCAGTAAATCAATCAGTAGCGCACCTGAATCCATGAAGAGATTAAGGTTTAGTGACGTTTGTATAGGTAAAGGTAAGTAAGTAAAGTTCGTCTTTCAATACTAATAGGACAGATGAAGTTAGAGATCATATGTTTCTTGGTACCAGCATGTAAAGAGATGGTGTGGTCAGCACAATGCCCAACCGCCTTTACCAGTGTTTCTTCCAGACTTTTTTTCTCAAGGGGGGGGGGGGGGGGGGCACTAACATTTTTGTTTATTTTATTTTTTTTTGGGGGGGGGGGACAGATTTTGGATACTGTTAAAAGTATATATTTTCTATATAAATTCCATTTCGTTCGGAGGGGGGGGGGGTAGACTTTTTCGGGGGATCCACCATCACCTCCCCCACCCACCCGAAGAGATGCGTGGAAGAAACACTGGCCTTTACTTTCCGTAACGAGAGTCGAATACTCAACAGACTTTAGTGTACTCAGGGACACCGTGGTATAGACGAGGTTACATTATTTTTCCTATAGGCAAACTAAAGATGGCAAACGAACAACTAATCCATTAGTTCAACGGAAACAGTAATCGGATTTAAAATAGGGTATTCAATTTCAAGCTTTTACAATGTAGAGATTGTCTCTGATGTGAGCTATACGTTCGCCTTGATCAGGTTTTACAAGGGAGATCACTATTAATGTCATGATAGGAAAGAACACCGTACAGGACTTGGTACGGGGAGGTAAGTCTATATTTCTCGATCAATGACATCTATCTACATGTCTCGACAAGGCTGTCACGACATCTGACAGGCCACCGTGCACGTCAAGACAAGGCAGGTCATTCTGTATGAAAAGGTCACTCTGTATGTCGTGACAAAGGTCACTCTGTATGTCGTGACAAAGGTCATTCTGTATGTCACAATCAGGAAGCCCACTGTGCATGAAACGACAAGGGAGTTCACTCAGCATGTCAGGACCAATACACGTCACAAGAGTTGTCTCTTGATATAAATCAGTCTGTTGTTTTGACGTGGACAAAAAATAACCCAGGCTTCCACAAAGTATTTAGACTTTAGATCCTATCATTGACTGAAATCCTAGTTGTAGTTATTCTACTGTAGCAATGTTTGTGTGGGTTTGTGGTGAAATCTAGTGACGCAGTTTGTTTTTTCTCTAGTTCTAAATAAACATGTTTCCGATGATATGGCAAAAATATTTGATTTTCTAATCGGGTATGGCAATATATAAGGATAGCTCCATTTCGAACCTGACAATCGATGGGGCAAGTAGAGTTCACCCCAGAGGCGTAGCGACCCTTCCCAGCGCCCGGGGACAAACTTGTTCGATGTGCACCCCCCCCTCAAGCTTTCACCCCCCCCCCCCCCGCCCCCCCCCCTCGCTACGCCTCTGGTTCACCCACATGTTTCCGTGGAAACGGCATATAATGGGATGGTGTTGTCAACACTATGCCCGGCCGCCTTTACTTTCCTTAATTAACGTGAGTTAGGTACTCATCAGAGCTGGGTATTTCTACTGACTTGAACTTGAACCCGATTCGAACTCGTGACTTTTAGCTTAACAGTCGTATACCATTCGACTACTCCGCCACTACATCAAGTATATTATTAATACATTTCTTTGATCTTCAGCAGACAAAAAAACATGTGTGGTCGGCATTATGCCTATCCCCCACAACACAAAAGGACAGAGCGCCATTCTTTCGTGCAACACGTCAGACAATCGACCAGATACTAGATGGATTTCTCGCGTGTATCGATCTATATTGGAGACAAACAAGGCGTTAAAAATAAGGTCGTGCCTAATTGACTTCTAATAAAACAGCTGTCACAGTTTGAATGTATGGATAGCAAACGCGGATTTTAAACACGGCATGCGTGCATGCTAGAAGTAATAAATTATCCCTCGCGACTTGAGCTAGCTGAGCTCTAGGGTAGGGTCATTATTTCATGGCTCCAATTTCATTGTGTACCGCCTGTGTTGGAATGATGTGATCTGATAAACAGAAGTAATGTTTACATGTGGACCTTTTCTTTTCTATAAATAACGTACTGATTTGAACATTAAGGCTTGTTTGATGTGAATTTGTAACAGGGATATTATTTTATTCATTTTATAGCACATTGAATTTAAAACAGCAGTTTTATTTGCAAATTTAATTTGCAAAAAGACATTTATTTTATTTTATTTATTATTATTTATTATATTTATTTTTTATTTGTTTATTTAATTTATTATGTTTATTTTATTCTAAATCATATTACATTTGGAACAGGAGTTTTTATTCTAGGGCACATTGAATTGAAGAGTTTTATTTTATTCTAGAGTATTTTGAAATAACTGAAAACTCTTTTTCTTGGGTTATGTGTAAATACAGTACCGTAGTTCTTGTGGCCATGTCTTGTAAGGTAAATAATTAACTCCGTATCGATACAATCAAGTGGACAGACGAGCTGCTCATACATTTTACACGAAGAAGGTTTGTTATTTACACTTGTGACATTAACAAAAATTAAGGCGCCGCGTTTAACATTTTTTTAATCAATCCCTGCCTTTACTTATAGCGTGGAAAAACTTAACATAAATAACATAAGTAGGTGGCTCGAAAGTAATTAAGGTAAAAAATTTACCTTTTTCCCATTACGCAAATATACCCCTTAACCCCCCCCCCCCCCCACTTCACCCCCACATCCAGTGTTTCTTCCAGACTTTTATCTCCGGGGGGAGGCACTTGAAATTTTCAGGTACGGGTTAGGAGGCAGAATAAACTTTCCGGGGGGGGGGGGGGGGGGGGTGGCGGGGACGACGGACAGTGTTTAAAGTATATATTTTCTATTTCGTTCGGGTGGGGGGTGGAGATGACCCCCTCCCGAAGAGATGCCTGGAGGAAACACTGCCCCCATCTCTTTAACACCTTGGACAAAACACATAATCTATTCCCTAAGTGTCTCAAGCGCTACTGAAACCAATGTTTACATCACCATTTGACTTGCTAAAGTAAAATCAATGGACAAATATTCTCATCCGCTTTACAGTTAGGATTTGACAAGTCTTAAATATTCGATCGACCTAAGCTGTGACTATACAACATTGATAGAAAATCCCTTTAGCCAGGAGTACCGTTGCGGTGTAATAGAAAAACGCTTAAAAACAATTTGAAAAAAGGTTTATATATATATATATATATATATATATATATATATATATATATATATATATATATATATATATATATACAGCCTATATATAAATAAACTTTATCCGCCTGGCCCCCTCTCCAATTCTACCCTCTGTTACTAAAAGTTAAATTACAGTTTACATCCTGTTTTATTATTCTAAACACTTGCTGACCCCCTTGCCCCCCCCCCCCGGTATGTGTGTCGCTACTAGGTTACCTATTTAGCGATAGCTAATGGGATAAATACAAGTCCTCATCAGTACAATAGTCCATATTACAGTGAAACAAAGTAAAACAATGCACATAGAAGTATAAGATAGTAGTAACGCGCTGAATAAACAAAATGCCGAAGAAAGAAAAAGGTTAAAATATGTACAAATGCCATACTGTAATGTTGCTGTAAGATTAAAGGACAATGGAGAAAGTAGGTCTATTATTTGGGTCAGGTTTCCCTTCGCTACAGATGACATGATCAATGGTTGAGTAATTATGATGGACGTGTTAATTATGTGTGTACATAATTTACGTGTGTGTATAAATGTATAATATTATTGGTCCGTA